GTGAATTGTTTGGGTCTGCTGGCACTTTATTGTTCCTCGTATCTCCCGTGCCAGTATAGTGGCTGACATATGGAAAGTCTACATGTCGTACAGATGTCCCGGGGACGAGTGCAAAGGAAACGGAGGTGAAGTCTGGGTAGCTTACATGGGAAAGAAAGCCTCACTGTTGTCTTCCAAGCACCCAGCCGGGGTGGAACGGCTCCGTCCGCCTTCACTGTGCCGTGCACGGCTCTCTCCACACCGCAGACTGGTTTAGGGCTTCCCGCAACGCGCCTGGCCCTTCCTGGAGGAGGAGCAACAACTGATAACAGAGTCTGGCCGCCTCTTCGCTTCTCTCCTTGGAGGTTTAGACCGGAGGGCTCCTGGGGAACGGCTGGCGCTCAGCACCCATTACCTCACCCTCCATCTGCACGCGGGAGAGGGACCTTCCTTCTGCAGAGCTTGTGGGATGTGTCAGGGCCTGTCCGTTTCCCCGGGGAGGGAAGAGCTGCTCGGCCCCCGTCCTGGAGCCGTGCACGGACCTGCCGTTGGGGGATGAGGCTGAAGGGCCGCCTCCGTGTTGTCAGGTGCGAGGCTGGTCACTCCTCACCCGCGTCCGGCAGCTCCTCGAGGCCAGTTCCTGGTCGCAGGACTAGCCGCCTGCTCCAGAGAGGGTCCTGCCGACCACGGGCGGGAAGGTGGCCCTCTGTCCTTTCTCCTGTCTTTTGGACCCTTTGGACCCAGGGCCTCATGAAAAAGAGACACCGTTTTTTTTCAATAAGTCCTGGTTTTTCCTGAGTGATTAGTCATATGAATTGAGCACGTAGTCATTTGGAAATGGGTTTGAGCTCTGTCTCTGGGACTCGGGCTCTGTGGTGGGGTCAGAGAGAACAGGAGCACCAAGAGGGATTTCACACCCTGGCTGGAACTGGAAGGTAACGCAGGAATCTAAGTCAGCGAGGAGCTGGGGCTCAGGGGAGGTGGCCGGCTTCGAGAAACCGGTTGAAGAACCTAGTTTCCCAGGAGCGGGCATCCGAGGGCTCACGGCAAGAATGCCGAACTGCTAAGACACGGAGCCGTTCACCCAGAGCTCCCCGTCTCCCTCGGAGAACGGGACGGATTCACCTCTGGGGCAGTGCTGACGCTGTGGTCTGGGTTAGCTGGGCCCTGCTATGAGGGTTAGTTATGGGGGCAAGGAGACAGGAAAATTGTAACGTATTGGCTTTCGTTGTTGGTCTCTTGGTTTTGCATCCTATGTCCTCTCTTTAGCGCAGCTGTGCCGCCACTTCCTTCAGGTTCTTTTTTCCCTGGTTTCCGGGTGAGCAGGGTCTGTTCCCTCTTGGCCTGCGGTTACCTCCCGACTAGATGTGACAGCCACTGCCTGGCAGCTCCCTGCCTCGTAAGCATGGCCAGGGCCCATCAGGCTGTGAGCACAGGGAGTCTTAGGCCAGCCTCTGCCATAGGTAGTTACACATAGTCAGTTGTTCCTGATCTTACTGGGGGCTCAGAGCTGGCTGATTCACCTCTATCCATAGTCCCTGCCCATTCCCCTCTCCTCTACTCACTCAGCTTCTTTCTCCCCTTCCTGTCTCTCTGAGTGACTTCTCTCCCACTGACTTGTCTCCCTAGCCGCTCTAGTCTTTATCAGCTCAATCATAAGGAATGACCGAGGATAATTATGTTCAACATTTATGGAGCTCTTACTATAGGTCAAGTACGTTATTTCATTTTTAATCTCACCAAAAAAATACTATAAATAGATTGTTATAATCTGACGTTTACTGATAAGTAAACTCAGAGTGGTTAAGACTATAGGCTCTTTCAATTCAATAAATATTTAGTAACTGACTGCTGAAAATCTTATGTGTCTGTATCTCCTAATGTCACACAAAATAAGTTTCCTATCACCAAAACCTTTCTTCAGAGAGTTGAGATATATGTATTTTTTTTAAATCATTATCTCTCTTGGCAAGTCCTTCAGTGTCTTTCTTATACATTATTAAAACAGGGTTAACTCAGCCTCTTCGCTTAATGCCTTCTTTTTTTTTTTTTAAATATATATTTTATTGATTTTGTACAGAGAGGAAGGGAGAGAGATAGAGAGTTAGAAACATTGATGAGAGAGAGTCATCGATCAGCTGCCTCTTGCACACCCCCTACTGGAGATATGCCCGCAACCAAGGTACATGCCCTTGACCGGAATCGAACCCGGGACCCTTCAGTCCCCAAGCCGACGCTCTATCCATTGAGCCAAACCGGTCTCGGCTCTTTTTTTTATAGGAACAAAGGCTTCTGGTGGAGAAGTGACTTTCTCAGGGTCATGTGGCAGGCTAATGGAAATGCAGGATGAGTCCTGACCTGTTTGGCTCAGTGGATAGAGCGTCAGCCTGGGACTCAAGGTTCAATTCCATGTATCTTGGTTGCGGGCACATCCCCAGTAGGGGGTGTGCAGGAGACAGCTGATCGATGTATCATCGATATTTCTGACTCTCTATCCTTCTCTCTTCCTCTCTGTAAAAAATCAATGAAATATATTTTTTTCAAAAGAAAGAAATGCAGGATGAGCACCCACGTCTCCTAGTACTGGGCTGGTATTATTCTGATGTACTTAGCACGTGAAGTCTTACTGGCATCAGCGGAATGATTTCTCATTTAAATTACAAAAGTCAGTTTATTTTTTCATAGAAAAGTCATCTGTGGACATGCAGCTTTATCTGCAACACATCAACGTGGATTCCTGGATCTCCAAAGTGTGTCTAAACTGCAGAAAAATTCCCCTTCCGTCTTATCTGTCAGAACTGCTCAGCGTGAAATAAATGCCTGGTCGCTCACCTCACTTTTCTGCCAGAAATCAAGCACAGCCCCGCTCCGGCCTCTGGCCTTCTATAGTAGTGCAGTCCTTCGTCCAAGTCCAATCTTCAGCCTCGCAGTCTGAGGGACACCCACTCTTTCCCACTGGCTTCGTCCAGTCTTCGTTAGAAGGACGGGATGTTTATAAGTTGAAGTCACTGACTTTCCAACATGAGAGGCTGTTTTGGAGAGCGTCTTGCTGTTTATTCTACTTACGTAACTTGGAGCAGCGTTGCCACCAAGGGTAGCCGCTGGTTTTATGTAGTTCTTACTAAGGAATTAAAATAATAGCATTTATCCGGCCTCGGGCTGTATGACGGAGGCCATCAGAGTCCCCAGGAAGCACTATCCTTGGGAGCTGTGAAAGAATTACTCCTCCTGTCTTTACGTATTGATAAGCCAAGGCCAAGAAAAACCAAAGCAGCTTTGTGTGCTTTAAATTAACATAGCATAAAAAGTTAACATGTCTGAAATCTAGGTGAAGCTGATGTGGGAATTCTCGCTCCCTCAGCTTTATTGAGATACAGTTGATACACTGTGCAGGTTTAAGATGTACACCGTGTTGATTCAGTACATTTGTAAATTGCAAAAAGTGATGGCCACCAAAGGGTTACCTACCACCTCCATCCCACCAGGTGGTTACCATTTCTTTATTGTGGTGAGAACATTTAAGATCTCTCTTAGCAACTTTCAAGTACTTGATGCAATGTTATTAGTTATAATCACTTTGCTGTACATTCTTCCCCAGAACTTGTTAATCTTTTTTTAAAAAAGATTCTGTATTTTTATTTTTACCTCTTTATATTTTATTGATTTTTTTTACAGAGAGGAAGAGTTAGAAACATCGATGAGAGAGAAACATCAATCAGCTGTCTCCTGCCCACCCCCCACTGGGGATGTGCCCACAACCAAGGCTCATACCCCCGACCGGAATCGAACCTGGGACCTTTCAGTCCACAGGCTGACGCTCTGTCCACTGAGCCAAACCATTTTTGGCAAGATTCTGTATATTTAGAGAAAAAGGAAAGGAGAGGGGAAGAGAGACATCCATTGGCCCCTTCCAGGGATCAAGCTCACAATCTGGGCAGGAGCCCTGGTCTGGAATTGAACTGGGAACCTTCTGGTGCACAGATACCCAGCCAACTGAGCGACACTGGCCTGGGCAGAATTTGTTCATCTTTTAACTTGAAATATATACCCTTTGACCAAAATTCTCCCCTACTCCCCCAACACCTACCCACACTCTGAGATTGACTTTTTTAGGTCTCCCATATAAGTGGTATCATACAGTATTTGTCTTTCTCTGGTCTATTGCACTGGGCATAATGCCCTCCAGTTCCATTCAACTTGTTGCAAGTGGCAGGATTTTCTTCTTTCTCGTGGCTGGTTAGTAATCCATTGCATATATATAGTACCACTTTTTTTTTTTTTATATAGCACACTTATAAAATCCATTCCATTATTGATGGATACTTAGGTTTGTTTCCATGTCTTGGTTATCATGAATAATGCTGCAATGAACATGTGAGTACAGCTATCTGTATGAGATCCTGGCTTTAATTTCTTTGGATACATACCCAGAAGTGGGTTGCTAGGTAGTTATAACTTGAATTATTTGAAGAGCCTCTAGTCTCCCTCCTGCTGTTCTAATTTGCATTCTTACCAACAGTGCACTAGGGTTTACATGGGAATTTTTTTTAAATATATTTTATTGATTTTCCACAGAGAGGAAGGGAGAGAGACAGAGAGCTAGAAACGTCGATGAGAGAGAAACATCGACTTGCCCCCTACATACCACCTATTGGGGGTGTGCCCACAACCAATGTACATGCCCTTGACCGGAATCAAACCTGGGACCCCTCAGTCCGCAGACTACGCTCTATCCACTGAGCCAAACCGGCTTCAGCTACATGGGAATTCTTCATACTAGGTTTACTACATTTTTATATTAGCTTGAAATTTTGTCAAAATGAAAATTAAAATATTAAAAAGCAGAGACTAACAATGGTAAAATAAATAAGCACCGAAATCTACTTTCTGTGTTAATTTGATTTTTTTTAATCTCTGAGGAAAAGAGACAGCATTCTTTTTTCAAATGCATAAATCACATTGGTGACAAGACTCGGCTGAGAATGCTGCTGATGTTGGGGTCCCTTTCCTTGTCTCCCCAGGCGCAGCGAACCTGCGAGCCGACCACACTCGTGGCATTCAACAAAAATCGAGGAGAACCAACCCAATGCCAGCATGATGCAAATATCTCAGGGCACGATTGGCACTCCTTGGCCCCAGAGCTACCATTCCAGGTAAGTGGCTGAAGCTGAGACCCAGGAGTTTCTGTCCTTCAAATGTCCTGCTCCCTGAAAGAACATTTTTTTTTTTCTGCTTTGAGAACACTTTCCCCTATTTACCCTGAGTAGGATATCCATGTAACCAGTACCTTCCTCATCCTCTTAAAATTCCTAACCTGGGTACCACTCACTTGATCTCCTTGGCCAGGGCGGTGTGAAGCAAGGACAGCATTATTTTGAGCCCTGGCTAGCGATCTGAGATATTTATTGGGTCTGTTGATTCTCATACATTTCTCAGTTACACTAGAAATACTGATATACTTCTTCCCTCAATGCTTCATGTCCTTTCTGCTAAGAGAGGGTTCCCCTGCATTTTTGCAGACCTGGAACCCACACAGACTGGAATTCATCTTCCGATCTCAGGGAGTCAGGCTCTGGTGCTTGACCCCTCTTTGGGAGGGCTGGGTAAGGGTAATAGTAGGGAGATTGGAGGGTAACCCTGGTGGGATTCATTCTTGCCTCTGAGCCATCTGTGCTCAGAGAACAGAGCCCCACCCCCACAGTGGTTTTGCACATTGGGCAGTCAGGGTTGAAGGCCTGTAGAAGGTTAGGTGCCTGGGGCTAAAAGGGTGGCAGGGACAGCATAATGGTAAGGCACTGGGTATGTCACGTCAGACACAGGCTTAAATCTCAAATTCACCTCCTACTGCATGAGCCTGAGCAAATCGTGTAACCTCTCTGATCTTGGTTTCCTCGTTGGTAAAATGAAATGAAATGAATCTCTCAATGGACCACAGTGAAGGTTAAACAAAATAACATGTAAAACATTTAGTGTAGTTTTCTGATGACCAATAGTTATAATAATTAGGCTGAAGACCTATCAGAGGCACAGTGAAACCTGGTAATGAACTTCAAAGGTAATGGCATCACCCAGCACACACTTATAAAATCCAAGTGTGTATTGACAGATTGCCCTAAACAGTGGGCTCTTGGGAGCCTCCTAACCCCTAACTTTAAGAGACCCCCAAATCTGAAATCACACTGCGACCTGAAAAACATGCCGGCCCCAAGGCAGAGAGAAGACTGCTGCATCGGGTGCTCAGAACATCTGCTAACCGTGACTGTGGAGCTCCGAGAGGCCTCCGGAGGAGGGTGGAGTTGGCATCAGAAGTGCAATATTCTAAAGGCTGCGCTTCTCCGTCTGTTTCCTCCTCCCCATCCCACCCTCCGGAGGGGTTTAGGCAGGTGGATCTGTCCTTGCTTCCCCTGACACTTGACTGTCAGCCCAAAAGCACTGTGTGGGGTACAGAGGGAGAAAGGAAAGCTCAGATTCCCACAGTGTGACGGACGTGTGGATTCTCTTCTAACCCAGCACCGATCGTCCATGATTCCTGTCACTGCATGACCTGGGCTTGCAGCTCTGGCAGAGGCTTCACCCCAGCCCTAAGCTCTGCCCAGAGGGTCCCACAGGGGCAGCTGTCCTGGAGGTGCCTTTGTGAGGAGCACAGTGGCACCTAGTGGTCTCGTGTGCTGCATCAGCCTGTCGGCGTCCCTCTGACAGCCTTCCTTTAGTTCCAGAAAGCCAATCGCAGTCCTAAGTGTATGAATCTGTTTCTCATTAAGAAGCAGGAGAATGAGGGGGCTCAAGGAAGGGGGAGAAGCAGGCGTGAGGAGAGAAGGAGGGAGAAAGACAAAGAGACGGAAGACTTCACTGTCTGCAAACTGGCCTGGATTTCACTGAAATTGTGTTTCTGCTGCTCTCTGTCAGACCTTTGTCGCTGTCTTCTTGCTGTCCTACAGAAATCTCACGCAGTGGTCCCACACTATTAAAGTATTTTAGAAGAGACCTTGAAAAGTCCAGCCCAGCTGGCATGGCTCACTTGGTTGAGCGTGTCCCATACAGGAGGTCACAGGTTCGATTCCCAATCAGGGCACGTGCCCAGGTTGAAAGCTCGATCCCCAGTAGGGGGTGTACAGGAGGCAGCCAATTGATGTTTCTGTCTGATCAATGTTTCTATCTCTTCCTCTCCCTGAAATCAATTAAAACATTTTAAACAAGTCTCTGGTCCAGTCCCCTCACAAGAGGATAAAATAACAGTATCAAAATACTCCAGTATCCATTGATTTGTTCATTCAAGCAAATACATACTGAGTACCCACTCTGTTTCAGATGAACGAGACATAAAAAGCCCCCCACTCTATAATACTTATTTGTTGCCCAAGATGTGTTCCATGGAATAGTAACTTATTACATGCCCCTTGGAAACGTTTCTAAGGTCAAATTAAGTTTAGAAAACACTGCTTAGTGTATTTTCCTTTCAGAACATTCCAAGAACAATAGTTTATTGGAGACTCAGAAGCCTTTGCAGTAAATAAAATTGTTTAACTTATTTAGCCCAGTGTTTTCAAAACATATTTGATCAGCTAAGGAATTAATCTTTGGTAAACACACTTTAGGAGGTCTTTTCATACACTTGTTTTGTGCTTTTTGCTATGTTTTAATACCTAGAGAATATTTTTTTTAGCACACAAAATAGAGAATGCAACATGTCACGTTTGGTTAGTGCTATGAGGAAAATGAAGCAGAGTTACAGGGAGCGAGGGGAGATGTGCTCGTTAGATAGTGAGTTCCAGGTGTTCTCTGATGCAGAGACGAAGAAGGAGTGAGCCAGGTAGGAGCATTTTATGTGGTGGGGACGGGGAGTACAAAGGCTGCTGAGACCTGAGATGGGATTTGAGTTAGTAAGGAAGCCATCCTGCTGGAGTGCCGTGAGCAAGAAGGAGAGCAGTAGAAAATGAGGTTGGAAAAGTAGCCAGGCCACAGTAAGAACTTTGGCACATTCATCTTGAGGGTAAGGCTGTCATCTCTGTTAACTCCAGGTTCTTCTGACCCACTATTAGCAGTGCCACCTTGGCCCGGCTGGAGTGGCTCAGTGGTTGAGCGTTACCTCGTGAACCTAAAGGCCCCCGGTTGGATTCCCGGTCAGGGCACTAGCTCAGGCTGCAGGTTTGACCCCAAATAGGGTGCGTGCAGGAAGCAGCTGGTCAATGTTTGCCCCTCTCTCTCTAAAACCATTAAAAACATATTTAAAAAAGAAAGAAAGAAAAGTTACATTCTTTTTTTTTAAAAATAATGTATAATTCATTTTTCTTACAGAGAGAAGGGGAGAGGGATAGAGAGCTAGAAACGTCTATGAGAGAGAAACTTCAGCCAGCTGCCTCTTGCCCACCCCCTACCGGGGATGTGCCCGCAACCAATGTACGTGCCCTTGACCAGAATCGAACCTGGGACCTTTCAGTCCGCAGAGCGACGCTCTAACCAAACCAGTTTCGGCGAAAAGTTACATTCTTAAAGTTAGCCACTAAAAATATAGTTTGCTCTTCCTTGAATTCCAGCACCAGTATTGACTCAGAATATGGTCCTTCTAGACCCTCGCCATATACTCTGGAGACAGTCCAGCCAGTATGCATCATTACCTACTCAACCAACCAAGACACCGTCTTTGCTCAGCTGAGATCTAGAAATATAATAGCAGCTCCGTAACCTTTAACAGTGCCTAAGTGCCTATTCATGTAAAAGTGGAAACTCTTAGGTGAGAGCTCCTAGTGATTTTCCCTTCTTTAGAGAATAATCGTGAGTCACAAACATTTGAACCCTGGAGACTGCTGTTCCGATTTTCTGAACCACTTGCTCCTTCCTGTATGCCCTCCTGCCCCCAACATGCTGGGTAAAGTATATTCTAAGCTTATAATTAAGGCTAATTATAAGGGGAATTTTGAGTTGAGGCAACTTTCTAGGCTGTGCAGTGCCAGGAGTGAGAGTCCTCTCCCGTTCCGCGGCGAGGCTCCGAAAACCCCCTGGAGGAGGAGCTCACACAGGCGGTCTCACCTCCTACGAGGCTGAGCTCGGGCTGCGGGAGGTCACCCGTGGGTGACGGGCGTCGTGGTTGAGACTTCGTGTAAAGCTTCCCTCTCCTTCCCTGCCCCGTCCATGCTTTCTGACTCTGATTTCTCGGCTTTGTGTTCAGCTTTCTCCTCACCAACAATCTCCAGTACAATTGAGATTCCAAGAAGGTTGCCAGGGTGGAATGCCTTCCGTTCCACAAAAAAGGAAAGATAGTAACTAGAAACGTACACATGTATGCACAGTCTCCCTCGCCCGTTCGCTCGCCTGGTCTCTAAGCATGTCCCCTTCTTCCCACAACGAGCCCCAAGAGACACGAAATCTCAGTGTCACTCGCTCTTCCTCCTCTCCTCTTCCCCCCCTCCTCCCCCACCGCTCTCCTTTCTTGGCACACTCCATCTTTCCAGCACATAGCAAATCACGTGAATGTGCTGTCTGTGCCTGAAGGCTACATGGCTTCTTCCCGTCCCTCCCTTTGCAAGCCCGGGTGATTGATTAGAAACGCACACGGGTTACAGTGTTGGGCAATTACTCCTGGTAGCGGCGCACGGGGAGGCAGAGGGAGGCCAAATATGGCTTTTTTCACCCAACCTTCCAAACACCAAACATCGTGCGCCAGAGTAAATATAAGCTGCGTCCTGTGCCTGGTACCAGCTCAGTGGCGCTGACTGCTTGTCTTCCCTCCTTCCAGCTCCTCTACAAGTGACCTCTCCAACTACGACCATGCGTATCTGAGGCGGAGCCCTGACCACTGCAGCTCCCAGGGGAGCATGGAGAGCCTGGAGCCCAGCGGGGGATACCCGGCCTGCCACCTCCTCTCCCCTGCCAAGTCCACCAGCAGCATCGACCAGCTCGGCCACCTCCACAACAAGAGGGACTCGGCGTACAGCTCCTTCTCCACCAGCTCCAGCATCCTGGAGTACCCGCCCCCCGGCGTGCCAGGCCGGGAGCGGTCCGGCTCCATGGACGCTTCTGCTCAGGGTGGCCTCCTGGACGGGCTGAGGCAGGCAGACATCCGCTATGTCAAGACCGTCTACGATCCCCAGAGGAGGGTGTCCGCAGAGTACGAGGTGAACTCGTCAGCCCTGCTCCTCCAGGGGAGGGAGGCCCCGGCCTCCGCGGACGGTCAGGGCTACGACAAAGGGCATCCTGTTCCTCGGGGCCGGAGGGGGCCGCCCCCCTCCTGGAGCCAGCAGGGCTCCGGCTCCTTGGAGACGACCACGGACAACCTGCCTCCGAAGGCGGGCGCGCCGCTGCCCCCCGCGCGGAGTGACAGCTACGCGGCCTTCCGGCACAGAGAGCGGCCCAGCTCGTGGTCCAGCCTCGACCAGAAGCGGCCCTGCCGGCCTCAGGCAAGCTCTCCGGGCGCCCTGAAGTCCCCCTTTGTGGAGGAGCAGCTGCATACGGTGCTGGAGAAGAGTCCCGAGAGCAGCCCGCCGGTGAAGCCCAAGCACCGTTATCCCCAGAAGGCCCAGCCCGGCCAGCCTCTGCTGCCGACCGGCATCTACCCGGTGCCGTCCCTGGAGCCACACTTTGCCCAGGTGCCTCCGCCCTCCGCGAGCAGTAACGGCACGCTCTACCCCGCCCTGGCCAAGGAGAGCGGCTATGCGACTCCTCGGGGGCCCTGTGACAAGACGGCTGCCAGCCTCGATGAGAATGGAAACCAGAACGGACCCAGCAGACCCGCGTTTGCCTTCTACCAACCCCTAGAGCGTGAATCTCTGTCCCTCGCAGAGAGAACACCGGAAACTCCAGGCCGATGTGTCCCCGTCAGAGTCCACTTCCCTCCCGTGCCTGACAACGTGAAGGAGGCCGAGCCCGCGCCCCTGGGCGCACCAAGGCCGGCGCTGCGTCTCACACCGCTCCAGGGCACCGGCCCACATCCCAGTGAGAGGAAGAGCCCCCAGAGCAACAAACCGGCCCCTACCTACCACCACATCCCGTCCCCCCAGGCGCAGGCCTGGCCGGCGGGCGATGGCAGGAGACCCTCCAGGCCCACGGAGCTCTGGGAGGGCGACTTCCAAGAAGACCACAATGCCAACCTCCCGCAGGGGCTGGAGAGAGAAGGCCCGAGCCAGAGCCCGGCTGGCCACTTTGGCAAGGCCAAGTCAGCCTTCTCCTCTCTCCAGAACATTCCTGAGAGTCTCAGGAGGCAGAGCAGCCTGGAGGCAGGAGGCCACCCCAAGGCAGAGGGCCCTGGGAGGAAAGTGGTGGTTCCTGATCACCGGAGCCATCCGGACAGGCCGGTTTCCTGCCCGAGGCCCGAGGGGAAAGCCGGTGCGTTGACCTCTTTCCCACTTTCGGAGGCGAGGCCCGAGGAACCAGAGCCGCCCTCCCCGCCGGGCCAGCAGCCGTCCAGCCTGGGCCGGAGGAGGCTCAGCTCCAGCAGCACCTCGGCCCTGCCCCCCAGCTTCCAGTACGGGAAGCCGCACTGCTCCGTGCTGGAGAAGGTCTCCAGGATCGAGCAGCGAGAGCAGGGGCGCCAGAGGCCCCCGAGCGTGGGCAGCTGCTCCGCCAATGGCTACGCCTACAGGCCCGCCAAGCTGGCCCCCACCTCCAGGACGGACTTCCAGGAGGAGACACACGCCAACACCCACCTTTCCCAATCCGCGGAACCCCTGGGCAACGGGGAGCAGCACCCCTTCAAGAACGGGGACCCGAAGCTGGAAGAAGTGTCCTGGCAGCCTTACGGTGGTCAGCAATTGAAGAGGGGCGCCGAGGGCAGCCGGGGCTCCCCGCTGCAAGGCAGCGAGCATCCCCCGAGGCGGGACACCCACCTGCTCCGCAGCCAGAGCACCTTCCAGCTCTGCAGCGAGGCCGGGGAGGATGCCCCGTGGCGGGACCCCAGGCCCGGCACCCCGGAGTCGCCGGTGCTGGACGCGCCCTTCAGCCGCGCCTACAGGAACAGCATCAAGGACGCGCAGACCCGCGTGCTGGGGGCCACCTCCTTCCGGCGCCGCGACCTGGAGCCCGGGACCGGGGCTGCGGGGGCCTCCAGGCCCTGGCGCCCCCGACCAGCCTCAGCCCACGTGGGGCTGCGGAGCCCGGAGGCCCCGGCGGCGGCGTCCGCCTCCCCGCACACCCCGCGGGAGCGGCACAGCGTGACCCCCGCCCGGGGCGGCCGGCCCGCGCCCCCTGTGGTGGCCGCCCGGAGGGGGCCCCGCCGGCGCCTGGACCCCGAGCAGAAGAAGCGCTCCTACTCGGAGCCCGAGAAGATGAACGAGGTGGGCGTCTCGGAGGAGGAGGAGGAGGAGGCCGGGCCGGCACCCCTGGGCGCCCCGAGGCCGGCGGCGCTGCGCTGCCTCCCGGAGAGCTCAGTGGCCGACCGGCGCCGCCTCTTCGAGCGGGACGGCAGGGCCTGCTCCACGCTCAGCCTGTCGGGGCCCGAGCTGAAGCAGTTCCAGCAGAGCGCCCTGGCCGACTACGTGCAGCGCAAGATGGGCAAGCGGCCCGGGCCCGGGGGCCTGCAGGAGCCCGGGCTGCAGGAGCGCGCGCCCGGCTCCTACCTGCAGCCCCTGCAGCCCGGCCTCAGCGCGGCCGCCAGCCTCTGTTCCCTGCGGGAGCCGGGCCTGCAGCCCCGCAGGGAGGCCGCCCTCCTGCTGGCGGCGGGCGAACCCCTGCGCGGGGCCCGAGACCGCAGCAGCTCCTTCGCCAGCGGCCGCCTCCTGGGAGAAAGGCGCCGCGGGGACCAAGCCCAGAGGGAGCTGCCCGGTGGAGCAAAAGGCAACCAGAGGGCGGACAGGACCCTCCCGGGGGAGCCCTCCTCGTGGGGGGCCGCGGCCGGGAGGGCTGCAAAGTCCATGTCGGCTGAGGACCTGCTGGAGCGCTCGGACTTCCTGGCGGTGCCTGTGCACGTGAGGTCACGGTCATCTCCCACCACCCACAAGAAGCTGCAGGTAGGTGCAGACAGCAGGTCCTGGGTGGGCATGGCCTTTGGGGCCCTGGAAGCTGTATCGCTTCTCCTCTATCCCCTCCTTCCCCTCATTGATGCTCCTTTTACATGCAGGAGAGGAGCATTTGTTAAGAGATCATTTCTTCCTTGGTGCCCCTGTCTGATAGCCTTACAGAGACAAGGATAAATGTGGATATTCATGTGGTTGTATGGATGTCTTAAATAGATACATGCATCTTACATAGATATCTTTATATGTTTGTGTGTGTATGTGTGTATATAATACATATTATATATAATTGCTTCATTTTAGGAGGTCACTCACCTCTCAGTGCAAGAGTATGTGGTTAGGAAAAGTTAGGGATTATCTTTTTTTGCCTTTTTTAAAAAAAAAATTCAAGGAATAGAGGCTGTCTCAAGTTTTAAATATTTTAGCTTTTCACCCTCTATGTTTCTGTTTGACTTTTGCATTTGCAAAATAGAGTTATTGATTTTAAAGGGTTATTGAGTCCCAGGCCCTCAGCTGAGTATGCTTGACCAGTACATTTATCTCGTTAATCTTCATAATAATCCTATGCAGTAGAGCACATTATCCAAATCAAAGCCCTGTTTCTCTGACTCCCATCTGAGCTCTTTCTGTGCACTGTCCTGGTGAGGCAGGAGAATGAATCCCAGACATTTCAGTTCTCAGACAAAAGGGTTTTCTAATAAAGGCTCTAAACTATGCAAAGACTGTGAAGTGCTTTCCGGGGGAAATTTCAGGCAGAGCTAAGAATAGACCTGAGCTCTCTTGACTCCCGGGCGTCTATTAATTTCCCTAATTCTTAGCCCATCCTCCAGCTCCACATTCCACTGCCAATCAGTGGCCTCCCTCATGGCTCCCTTTCCACTTACCGACATAGGAATTCACATATATGTTAGCACAGTGGAGACCATCTCTCCATTCCCCCTCTCAGATTCTGTTTTTCCTGGCAGAGAAGTCAAGGATTGGGGGTTGTGTGTGGGAGGCGGTATTTGGTGGAAACAACTTCGGACAAAGAAAGATTCAGTCATTGCTGCCTGAGAAGTATGTTTACAGCACTGCTTCTGAAACACACATACACACAGCCTTCTGAGCAAAAGCACTGTGCCCTCCCAGGTATTTCCTGTTCATGGATATTCAGAAATACTTTCTCTCCAGTGTAGACCCAAACACACACAAATCTATAGAGGCAGTCCTCTGTAAGACTTCACTAGCCATTTTCCTCCCCCTCGGAATGAACTGAGCTAATTTCCACTCCTCATCCTACCACTAAAACCCTTTTTAAAAAGTATTCATTGTTATTGCTATGAGAGAAACTTCGGTTTGTTGTTCCACTTATTTATGCATTCATTTGTTGTTTCTTGAAAGTACCCTGACTGGGGATCAAACCTACCGCCTTGGGATATTGGGACAATGCTCTAACCAACTGAGCTATCCAGCCAGGGCACTAAACACTTTTAAATCCTTATATGTAACATGCAGTTGCAGCTAGTTTGATGGGCTTTAGCCATTCAGTTCATAGCTACAGAACAAACATTTGCTTCATTTTGCTCCACATGTTTTAAAGAAAACAGAATGTTCAGGCAAAAACTGGATCCTCTTCAGTTATTTCTATTTTATTTTATTTTATTTCTTTAGCCACCACTAGATGTCATCATTCTCTCTTGGGGAATCAGTTAGATATGAATGTTATTTTGCCTTCCCTCCACAAACATTTCTCAAACCTGGTTAAGTGTTTGAGAAACATAGGTGGTATAGATTCCTCCAAACCCAGTTACGTACTTTATATCATTTGAAAAGCTTTTTAGAAAGACATATAAATACAGAATGTTATTTAGACACCCTGTTCAGTAGAGTACCATATTTAGATAGTATTTAATTTGGGGACTATGACACCAGAGGAGGAAACTGTTTCAAAACTAAATATGTTATCTGTGCTGTTTTGCTCCTACAAATTCCGCAAATAGGTTACCATCCCCAGATTATAATTGTGCCAACACTGTTCTTGAGGTTCCTTCTTCCATCAGCCAGACCTTGCCTGCCCTGGGACCTGGCCATGGCATGTCTGATCCATTTTCTTCATACCTTATTTGTAGAACTAGTTAAAAACAAAGCAAACGTACTCTCACCACATAATTATTGTGGTTATTTCAAAATGTTACATTCTTTTCTTCTAAAAAAAAAATTCCAGGAACTTTATCCTTAAGAATTGGTGAGGGCATTAAGAATCTTTCTGACCTCAGCTTCAGAGAACTCCGTGAAATTAAGTGACCCTGTAAGAGCAAGCATGTCAAACTCGCAGCCGGCAGGCCAATGCCTCGTTTAGGTCACAATATGCTTCCTGTAGAGACCATCCATCTGCGTTAAACCCAAAATATGGAGCCTGTTCTGGTGCTGGCTCAGTCCTCGGCATCCTGAACAAATGTTACTTGTCCCGTCCTGCCGGCCAGATGCTAAGAGAGCAGGATTTTACAAGCTTTGGGCAAGGATTCAGCTCCTTTTCAAAAGTTTATAAGGACAGTTTTTGCCTCCAAAATAAGGTCAACATGGAAATAAATTCCTCTGCTTAGGAAATTGATTATTCCTTGGCCTGAAGTAATGACTGCAGAAGGCTGCCACCCCTTGGAACCGGAGACTCCTCCGATCCTCAGCAGGCCTGGCCTCTCCTCAGCCAGCTGTGGGCCACTCTGAAACAGGCAGCCTCCCGTTACCTCTCCTTTCATTCCCGGTCCTCTCAAAGATGTAAATGCTGAACAAGTGGACATTAGTGATGGAGCTGACGGGCACAACAAATTCTTGCTTATTTCCTACTTTTTGGAGACTTTGGAAAACAACTTTTCTTAAGTAGCTGGGCCCTGCAGAAAAATAGTCAAACATTTCTGCCACTGAGACAGAAATGTATACCTCTTCACAGCATAGACCTAAAATGCAAAAGAGGCTACAAAAATAAACCTGTGAAGAAGTAAGATTCCTAGTGAGGAATATCGCCGCCCCCCCTCCCCTCCCCCAGATGCTGGTTAGAGGCTTGTCTTTTTCTCTCTGTGTTTTCAGAGACCTCTGTTTCTGGTATGTAGCACATTCGCCATGTGACGGCGAGCCAGACGTTTAATTGCTGAGGAAATGGCTCGGTGCATGGACTCTGGAGAACGCAGCTTGTAAATCATGTTTAGCACCTCTCAACCAGCACCCATTCCAGCTTGTGGATAAAGAACAGAATCAACTTTCCACAAATTGTACAATTACAAACAGCTGCTAATAACCATATGTGTACTAGGTGCCAGTCATTGTACTCAGTGTTTTTATTATAAGTATGAGATATATAATAATTAAAAAACAAATATTTATAACTATTTCTTCCATAGTCCCAGCTTTTCTCTAAATTGCCCTATGCCTACTGTACACTTCTTACTAGTCTGTAGTAAGAAATCAAGTCTTCTTTAACAGTGAACATATACCTAATCCAAACAAGTAAATACAACAGACATTTATCCTCCCCTAGCTTTTACTGGATTGGGAAGGCATTTTCCTTCTGTCCAATTGATTTTGTTTTGTTAGTCACCACCCGAGTACACATTTTGTTGTTGTTGTTTTATTATATATATATATACACACATTATTCCAGAGAGGAAGGGAGAAGAAGAGAGATAGAAACATCAGTGATGAGACAGTCATTGATAGCCTGCCTCCTACATGCCCCCCACTGGGGATCCAGCCTGCAACCCGGGCATGTGCCTTGACCAGGGATGGAACCATGACCTGGTTCATAGGTTGACGCTCAACCATTGAGCCGTGCCAGTTGGGCTGAGGATATGTTTTTATTGCTCTCTAGAGAGAGGAAGAAAGACAGACAGACAGACAGACAGGTTGCACTCTTCTCTGTGCACCCAACCAGGGATCAACCTGGAACCTTTCTGGCATGCATGACGATGCTCCAACCAACTTTCATTGACAAGAGGTTTAGAGAGTTCTCTCGACAGCCTATTACTGAGTCTGACTTCCTTATTTTACCCACACTAACATAGATATCAACGTGGCTCCTACTATAATTCAAAGGAAATGACAGAATGGAAAACTCTATTTAAAAGTTATACTGGGTTAGGAGGTTGCAGAGGACCTACAGGCTTCCCCAGTTAATTATTGGCAAAGCTTCACATTCCTGTCAACAGAGAAGGTGCAGCAGGGAAGGACCACACGGTTCCCTGGGGAGCGGGGATTCCCACTCCCCAAAGTGATCATTGAGCAAATCAGAGACGTATTTTCTCGAAGCACTGATGTCTCATTGCCGCCACCTCAGCTTCCACACAGCTTGCTAAAATCACAAAGAAAGACCCTGTGTTTTGAAGCGATCATGGTTCGAATCCTGGCTCCTCCACCTACTTAACTGTGTGGGTGGGTAAACTACTGAACCGTTCCGAGCTGCAATTACCTCTCCGCAAAAGATTGTTCTAGATTAAATCGCAGAAGAAATGGCATGTGCCTAACACAACTCCAGGCTTAGAACTGGAGGACTGTAAGGGATTTAGCAGAGTGTCTGTCACAAAGTAAATGCCCAGTAAGGGAGAGCTGCAGTTACTACTAATCTTCCAGGGTTGGTTTCTTCTTTGCGCCTCCTACCTTTGGCTCTTTTATTGCTTATTAGTACCTGCACCACTGACTGGGGGTGCAGGGAGAAAAACGGGGTGGAGAGCAATGAGCTCTTTGGACAGATTAAGTGATGAAATAATTGCTGGAATTAAATGAGATAATGTGTGGACTTTAATTTCTTGTTTTCTACCTGTCTCCTAGTAGCATAAATAATGGAGAGCTAAATATTTTGTCATCAATAGCAACATTGTCCTAATCAGGGACTTATTTGCCTGGGCAAAACTCTATCAAAAACTGGCCTAGGATCCTTTCAGGAAACCAATAATACCCTTATTAAGAACAAAAAAAACAACACATAACGACTTCCTGAAAAGGCCCTCAGATAATTGGTATGACATGTGGGTAAAACATTTTCAAACCCAGAGAGAACATATTTAAGCTTGGTTACACGTCAGATTCATATCTTCTGGAATTATAAGTCAGAACATCGGAGGTTTTTGCTAAATGTCATGCACTCTCCTGTCATCTCCCACGTTTCCTATGGCTGTTGCAGAAAGTTGGCCCTTTTGAGTTGATTTTTGTCATTTCAAGGGTAGCAGTTGTTTTGAACCCTGGAGACAGTTAGCAGCCTTCTCTTGCTTAGAAAGTGCCCTTGCGAGGAGAAGCACTTGGTGAGACAGACCGAGGTTGAAATCCTGGCTCTGCCACGGAGACCTGGCGGGAGCTATCCTCCGGGCCTGCTTCCTCACCGGTGCAGCGGGGTCCACAGTCCCTCCCGGGGCTTTGCGGAGAAATGGGGCAGTATGGGAGAGCGCCACCATGGTGCCTGACAACAAATAGCAGGCCTCCTGTGACTATTCTTGCTCCTTCCTGTCTCCACCCCCTCAAGGAAATGTGTTGGTAATACGCTGTGCCTTTCTTGTGTTTCAGGATATGCTCTTGGGGGAAGACGGTGGCTCTGGTCTTGTGAAGGCGCCATATTACTTGGCTGGCCCTGGACCCAGGTATGTGTGATGCCCTCTGCCTTATGCATGTGGCTGGAGTTCAGCGTTTGTGTGCCTCTGAGTAAGGAATTGAAATGGGACATTACGATGTTTCATTGTGTCCTGTGTGCCTTCTCCGCTTGTCTAGGCTGTGGGGAACTTTTTTATTTATAGACGACTTTCTCTAAAAATGGCACTTGTTCAAAGTAGATTTTGAGTGTGTGCTGGTAAGGCAACGCTTTGCTTCTAATGAGCATCGCATCAGAATAGTTCGTGGGTATGCGCGTCTCCTGCTCACCTGTGCTCACACGCGGGGCCTCTCACGTGGCTGATCTCCCCCAGTTCTGTGTGCAGAGGGCCAGCCTGGTGACTAAAGTGGTCAGAGAGGAATGAGCGTTTCATGAATGGCTTCACACAGGAGGCAAATTCACAGGAAGCACCTGAGATAAAAAAATAACGGTCCTAAATCATAACGTTTAGGCACTAAAGGATATACTGTAACAGTAAAAGTCATTGTAAACATTTATCATCAGCCCTAGCTGGTTTGGCTCAGTGGAAAAAGCGTCGGCCTGCGGACTGAAGGGTCGTGGCTTTGATTCCGGTCAAGGATACATGCCCAGGTTGCGGGCTCGATCCCCACCCAGGAGGGGTTGTGTGGGAGGCAGCTGATTGATGGTTCTCTCTCATCATTGATGTTTCTATTTCTCTCTATCCCTCTCCCTTCCTCTCTGAAATCAATGAACAAATTAAATTTTAAAAATGTTTATCATCAAAATCATTTCTCCCAGATAGAAAAATATAATGGGCAAATTATTTAGAATTTGAATTTTTTAACTAGTCACATGGAGCTGAATAAGTAGAAAATTCCAAAAGAGTTTTCCCTGAACCACATTCTTGTGTATATATCGTTTTACTGTTTCATCATAGAGTTAGCTTCTTTGATCTACTTACTCAGTTGTCCGCAAATTCATTAGTCAACAGAACCAAATATCAACAGTAAAACAGTTGGAATTTTGAGGGCCAAATTTTTTAAACTTAAACTTCTTCTAATGCCACTTCTTCAAAGTAGACTCACCCAGGCTGTGGTATTTTGTGGAAGAGCCACACTCAAGGGACCAAAGAGCAGCATGTGGCTCACAAGCCACAGTTTGCTGACCACAGTGTTTACTAATGATGGTGCATTTAAACCCTCCCTACTACCTTCCATGTTTCAAGCCAGTACCCTAATTTTTATTATAATTTATGCAGTCATTGTTTCCCTCTTTTTCTTTATTCCCCACCTCGCTAAGTCACCCTAAAACTGTCACTTAGGAGCAGCCAATGTGGTCAGGAAGTGATATTAAGTTACCACCTCCACTGCCAAGAGCAGCTCTTGCTCCTGTGGTTGGGCCTAAAGTGAATACATATTCCAGGTGAGGCCAAGGACTTTGGTTAGTTTGGGTGCATTAATTAAACGCCAGAGACAAAAGAAAACGATCAGTGAACAGGAGCACTGCCAAAAGAGAACTGGTCTGAAGTCAAAGGTGAAACTAAACTCAACCATAAAAAAAATCAAATAGCCAAAACCAGTTTGGCTCAGTGGATAGAGCTTCGGCCTGTGGACTGAAAGGTCCCAGGTTCGATTCCGGTCAAGGGCATGTACCTTGGTTGTGGGCACACCAGTAGGGGGTATACAAGAGGCAGCTGATGGATGATTCTCTCTCATCGATGTTTCTAACTCTATCCCTCTCTCTTCCTCTCTGAAAAAAATCAATAATATATATATATTTTTTTAAATAAAGTAAAAGTAATGATAAAAAAGCATGCAAAAAAATCAAATAGCTCATTCATAAACAGGGCTTGAATAGCCCAGCCTGTGTGGCTCACTGGTTTAGTTTTGACCCATGAACCAGGAGATCATGGTTCAATTTCTGATCAGGGCACATGCATGGGTTGCAGGCTTGATCAACATGTGGGGCGTGCAGAAGGCAGCTGATCAGTGATTCTCCTTCATCATTGATGTTTCTCTCTCTCTCTTCTTCTCCCTTCCTCACTCTGAAATGAATAAAAAAACATTTTTTTTAAACTTTTGAAAAAATAAAAAGGACTGGAATAGACATTTCTCCAAAGATAATGATTAGGTGGCCAAAAAACACATAAAAAGATATTTTATATCACCAATTATTAGATAAATACAAATCAAAACCCCATTGAGATACCATCTCACACTCATTAGGATCATTAAGATAACTATTATTGGGGGGGGGAAAGTGTTGGTGAGGATGTGGAGAAATTGGAACTGCAAAATGCTGCAACTGCTATGAAAAACAATAGGAAGACTCCTCAAAAAATTAAAAATAGATCTACCATATGACCCAGCAATTTTACATCTAAGTATTTATCGAGAAGAGTTGAAAGCAGTGTCTTGAAGAGATATTTTCATACCCGGATTTCAGCAGCATCATTCAATAGCAAACAATCCAAATGTCCATCAGTGGAAGAACAGCTAAACAAAATGTGGCCCATTCATAAAGTGGGATATTACTCATACAGTGGGATATTATTCATACAGTGGGATATTACTCAGTCTTAAAAAGGAAGGGAAATGCTGGCACATGCTATGACATGGATGACCGTTGAGGATATCATGCTAGATGAAATAAGCCCATCACAAAAAGGCATACTCTGATTCCACTTATGTGAGGTATCTAAAGGAGTCAAATTTATAGGAACAAAGGAGAAAGGTGGTTGATGGGGCTGGCAGAGCTGGGAAGAGTTGTTGCCTACAAGGTACAGAGTTTCAGATCTGCAAGATGAAGAAGTTCTGGAGATCTGTTTTTGCAATGAAATGAATGGTTCAAGTAGCAAAATTTTTTTAAAAATATATATTTTATTGAGTTAGAAACATCGATGAGAGAGAATCATCGATCAGCTGCCTCTTGCACACGCCCCACTGGGGATGCGCCCGCAACCAATGTACATGCCCTTGACCGGAATCGAACCTGAGACCCTTCAGTCTGCAGGCTAATAATGCTCTATCCACTAAGCCAAACCGGTTTCGGCTCAAGTATTGTAGCAATATTTATGTTAAGTGTTTTTTATCACATGAAAATAATGCTATGAAGGTGGGGGGTAGAGGGGGAATGAGACTGATTGGTCTCAAACTCCGTTCTTGAATATTAGGATTCCTGGATACAGATCAACAGATGCTTGCCTTGCACACTCTGTTATCAAAGAGACTTAAATCTCTCTTATCCTTTATCCTTTTGTTCTTGAAAAAACACAAAACAGTCACCAAGAAGAGGCATTATCAGCCAAATTAAGCACGCATTTTACTCAAATAATACCTTCAAAGATGAAACAAACCAAAAGCGTGTATCAAGGTGTCTTCCCTAAAAAGCCTCAGGATACAGAGGAAGGAAGATGAAGGTCCCCGAGAATCAGTCACGGAGCCATCGATTCCAGTGGACTCCGTGTCCTATTGGAGGATGCTACCTTTAAAAATGGTTTATATTGTACAGTTTAAAGAGCAGTTGGTAGAAAAGACATTGTTTAACAGACGTTTACTAATGGTACTGTGTGCCACAGGTGCCACCGTGAATGAGACAGGCAGCGCAGAGCACGCCTGGCGACCCTCCTGCCTCTGCTTCCCGCACACCCATTTGTGTACCCGAGGATTAGGAGTACTGAGCCGATCTTAGACAGTGAGAGCGTCCTGGCAAAAACCAACTCTGAGTGAAAAGGGTCTGTGATGGAAAGGAAGATGTTGCATCTGAGAGAGAGGGAGGCAGAGAGGGAGAGAGAGATGGGCCCCTCGTTCAACTATCTGCATTTGTAAAAAAAAAAAAAAAAAAAAAAAAAAAAAAAACCCAGCCGGGACTGGTTTGGCTCAGTGGATAGAGCGTCGGCCTGCGGACTGAAAGGTCCCGGGTTCGATTCCGGTCAAGGGCATGCACCAGTGGGGGGTGTGCAAGAGGCAGCTGGTCGATGTTTCTCTCTCATCGACCTTTCTAACTCTCTGTCCCTCTCAATTCCTCTCTGTGTAAAATCAATAAAATATTTATTTTTTTAAAAAAATACTTAAAAAAAAAAAAAAACGAACCGGCACAAGAGAGGCTCATTGGGTCTGTGCGGTCTTCTTCAGTGAGCTGCATTCCCCCTGCACTCAGACGATTTCATGGCAGGCCTGTGCCTGTGCCTGCGCGGCCTCGGACTTGGGGCTGAGCCACGCTCCCTCAGGACGCTGACTTGCGGGCATGCTAGTCAGGAATGTACAGAGGATGGTGGTTTGCGGGAGATATCCGTTCTCCTCAAATCAACTCTTGCATGGCCGGCAGGCGGGCAATGCTGCCCACTCTTGTTTTCTTTGTTCTGTCCTCCTTTTTGTCCTGCAGGACAAAATAACCAAAGTTCTGGAAGGCGCTAGGGTTTTCCTCGGAGCCTACTTGGGGGATATCTGTTTAAATCACCTTGCACCCTGTCTGTCCAATTTTGTCAGTGTTTCCCCCAAGGTAACTGCTCATTAGCTCCTTGGGTGAGAAGCCCTCCATTTCCTCTTTACGTTCCATTTTAAGAAATGAAAACACTGCTGAAACCGGTTTGTCTCAGTGGATAGAGCGTCAGCCTGCGGACTGAAAGGTCCCAGGTTTGATTGCGGTCAAGAGCATGTACCTTGACTGTGGGCACATCCCCAGTAGGGCGTGTGCAAGAGGCAGCTGATTGATGATTCTCATCAAAGTTTCTAACTCTCTATCCCTCTCTCTTCCTCTCTGTAAAAAATCAATAAAATAAAATAAAAGTAAAAATAAATGAAAACACTAAGAGACTAAGAAAAAGTTGTAAATAAATTCAGCAGCTTTCAGATGCTTTCAGAACAGACTGCTCCCCCCCAACCCCCGCCCAGGGACGGCAGTGGGGGAGAATGAGGTAGCATTCTCATCGCCTGTGGCCTGAGCTCCAGAGTAGGCCTCAGAGTAGGGGTGTCGAACTCAATCAGAGAAGGGGCCAAAATCTAAAATCCAGCCTAAATCGCGGGCCGAATGGTTTACTGAACAGTCATAAACTGTCACTGTGATGGAAACGCAGCGGAGTGCAGTGATGACAGCGCGGTGCGGGCCACATTGCAAGGCCTGGCGGGACGGATTTGGCCCGCGGGCCTTGTGTTTGACACATGTGCCTCAGAGGCTCCAGAGTAGGCCTCAGAGCACCTGAAGACATGTACCCACTTGTTTCTTTCCTTTTATACCCCGAAGCCTGTCCTCCAAGCCACCTTGTGTGGGTGGTGAGGGTGGGAGGTGGGGGCAGCGAGGGAAGGCGCAGTCAAAGCAAATGCCATGTGACGTTTCCCTGTAGGAGGAGGTCATGCCTGTCTGGCCTTCTATTTAAACTCGGTTCTTTGCGTGAGCAGCTGGTGGGGGAGGGAGGGAGCGCACAGCTTTCCGGTCGGTGCCGTGAACCTGGGCGCGGGGTTGGCTCCTTTCTCCAGAGCCGTCATGCTTGTGCTTGTGCTTGTGCTTGTGCCCCGCTCCAGGTCCCTCGGCTGTCCAGAACGAGGTGAAGAAGAGATGCTAGCGCTCAGACACCAGCCCAGCCCCCGATGGGGTGGCTCCGGCTCCAAAGCAGCTGGCGTCTCCATTCCCAGCGACTGCCCCTGCCAGCCAGACCCTCCGAGGCACGCCGGCAGGATGCCCGGCCCCAGGCCACTGCCCACGGGGCTGCAAGGCCATCTCACAGACACCAGGGCAGGACCCCTGACCTCACTCAGCTCCGCCCTGCCTTCCCCTGCCCCCTCCAGCTACTGTCCACCGGCTGCTGGCGATCAGCCGGCCGGGAGGGACGGTCCGACGGGCCAGCAGCCTCTCCCGCCCTTCACCCCCGTGGGGACGCACAGGAGCAACGGTCTCAGCCCGGCCCAGCCTCCCCGTCCCAGAGGCCAGGAGCCCCACAGCCCGGAGCGCGGGGCAGGAGAGGGGACGAGGAAGCAGCCGCCCTCGCCTCGTGTGAAGTGGGCCCTCACCGTCCGGGAGAACAGCCTCCCCGAGGAGTCCTGCTCGCCCGCGGTAGCAGGCCTGAAGCACGGTCGACAGCAGCAGAGCCTCCCGAGTCCCAGCAGCACCTCCGACCCAGACACGCCTCTCGGGGCCCCGCGCACGCCGGGGAGGATCTCCCTCCGCATATCGGAGTCCGCCCTGCAGGCCTCCCCGCTGCCGCCGCGGGAGGACTACGACGACGAGGTGTTCGTGAAGGACTTGCACCCCGCGTTCGAAGCTCTGCCCCTGCCCCCGCCCCCTCCACCGCCTCCACCGAGCCAGGAGGTCCCGGTGAACAGCTGGGACGACTTTCCTCCCCCGCCGCCCCCGGCTCTGTGCGAGGCGCCGGACGGCGAGGATGGCACGGAGCTCCCCGCAAGGTGAGTGGGCAGATTGGGTGGGGCAGGCCCTCGGCTCAGGAGGAGAGGGTTTCCCTCACTAGTGAGAGATTTCACACTCCAGGCTTCCCAGGCCCTCCAGCTTTTGGCCCCTGGAGAGCCCTGGCGTGGAGGAGTTTATAGCTCAGCCCCTGACGCTGGCAGGTGGATGCTCTTGTTCACTTTTGGGTGGTGGTTATACCAGCGGGCATTGGGCAGCAAAGAGTGAGAGCAGTGACAGCGAAAGCCCTCGCCCAGGGGACAAGTTCGCTTCTGTGCGTCCATATTAGTAGCATCCCTCCTTCCTGCCCACGCTCTGAATTGGTTAAGGAATGAGAGACAAGAGGAAGGCATACAGCCAAAACCGGTTTGGCTCAGTGGATAGAGCACTGGCCTGCGGGCACATCCCCAGGTGGGGGTGTTCAGGAGGCAGCTGATCAATGTTTCTCTTTCATCAATGTTTCCAACTCTCTATCCCTCTCTCTTCATCTCTGTAAAAAATCAATAAAATATATTATAAAAAAGAGAGAGAGAGAGAGAGAGGAAGGCATACAGCAGACAAAAACATCACTTGTATTACTGAGAGAACGGATATGGAGAAATGGCTTCCCTCCCGACACTGAGCCCCCAGATTAAATAGGTTTACCTGCCTATTCACAGGCCATGCTAGGCATACGTGTGTGTGTGTGTGTGTGTGTGTGTCTATTTTATATAAGGGTGTCCAAATAAATGTATTCGCACATGTTGAATAATTATAAAGGCAGTATTTATTAAAATACATTTCATTTTTAAAATGGAGCTATCAGCTGTTACAAGTGTGTGTACATTTTGGGGGCACACCTTGAATAGATGGAGAGAGAGCACGAGAGAGAACAAAAGAGCATGCCTAGAGGCAGCCTTGCTCTTAACTAGAAGAGCTGGACTGTGAATGGTCCGGCTGTGGTTCCCTGCTCTTTCCAAAGGCACTGGGAAGGAATCGAGAGCAGGGCTGAAGGTGGTAACGCAGGGAAAACCTGCTATTGGAAGCCAGAAGAATGAGGAAGAAGCATTCCCCAGCGCACACTCCTTAGGACACGTGACCTTTCACAACACTGGATAACACTCCAACCCCCACACTGCCTGCGATCACTCCTAATACCAGAGTGACTGTCCACTACCTCTGTGCACCGGGCCCTGCAGACAGTTCCAGAATACGCATTCCTACTCAATTCATCCCCCTTAAACTAAGATGATCAGACAGTCCCGATTTCTAACAATTTGTCCCGTTTTAAAAAAGTCCCGATTTTTTTTTTAATATATTTTATTGATTTTCCACAGAGAGGAAGGAAGAGAGACAGAGAGCTAGAAACGTTGATGAGAGAGAAACATCGACCAGCTGCCTCTTGCACACCCCCTACCGGGGATGTGCCCGCAACCAATGTACATGCCCTTGATCGGAATCGAACCCGGGTCCTTTCAGTCCGCAGACCGACGCTCCACCGCTGAGCCAAACCGGTTTCGGCAAAGTCCCGATTTTTTAAAAGAATCGGAACTTTAAAAAGCCACGGGACAAATTGTTAGAAATTGGGACGTCTGGTCACCTTATCTTAAACAGTCACACAACCTCCCCACGGGCAATCAGGTGAAGGCCCTTAGGATGCTCAGAAATGGGACCGCCTCGCCCACTCCCACCAGCCCAGCGGTGACAGCTCTTGCACCTCATCCTCGTCTTTCTGTTGATTCTTTCTCACCACCTCTCTCTTTTGCTTTTCATATCCAGTAGCTCCAGCAAATCTGCCAACAGGACAGTTGCCAAGGAAAGGCCCGTGCCTGGGGCAGCCCCGCCGGTTGGCCATCAGATACCAGCATCCAGACCCCAAGCTTCCGTCCGAGGTTCCGACACCCATGGGCCCAGCCCACCCCCCACCTCGGGCTCCCGGCCCCAGCACGCTGGGCCCCTCGGCTGGCCGCCAGCCCCGGGAAAGCAGCCTCCCGCCCCGACCCAAGGCCTCGCCCACGACCCGCTCAGCGGGACTCGGGCTTCAGAAGACAGTGCCGGTCCCGGCCCTCAGAAGACGTCAGAAGACATCAGAACGGAGGTGCTGGCCAAGGAAATCGTCCACCAAGACAAGTCTCTGGCAGACATTTTGGACCCCGACTCCAGGCTGAAGACCACCATGGACCTGATGGAGGGCTTGTTTCCTCGCGATGGGAACTTGCTGCAGGAAAACGGTGTCAAGAGGAAGGCTGTGCAGAGAGCCGTCAGCTGCTCAGGGCACGAAGGCAAGAGGTAGGTCCCTGGTAATGCCCCCATGCAGTCTTACAAGTGAGCTCCATCCACGGGTGATACGTCTGGGGTTACTTAACTGGTCTTTTCCTGCTTCCAGCGATCCTGACCCAAGAATTACATTCCCTGTCAGCTTTAGGGGAATGGCTCTGAGGAGGAGGAGGTGGGACAGACTGGCCTTAAGTTACCAGGCACTTGTCCAACAACACAAAAGACAAAATGTCCCCTCGACTGGGAGTTCCACCAGGGGGTGGGACTGGCAGGCCCTCCCCCCAGCTGGCCCCACCCCCAATCAGTTCCCTCATCCTGATAGAGTGGGGCTGAACAACCTCCTGCATCTCCTCTGACCCCCCACCGCCCAATCCGATAGGCCTGCCAGGCCCCATCTGTGCATGAATTTGTGCACCGGGCCTCTATTAACAATAGTGTTAACCCTTATGGTTCATGTTCGTTGTTTCAAATGCATTCGTTTCTTTATATAAACATCATCTTGTTTAATCTTCACAAGAACCTTCCGAGATAGCCACCAGTTTCACCTTTATTTTACAAGTGAGGGCATTGAAGCCCTGAGAAATTAGGACCGTGCCCAACTGAAGTCAAAGGACATGTGAGCACTGGCAGTGTGACTGCCCACTCTGTCAAGGATTACACGGTGCCCCCACCTCCACGAGCGCACAACCTCCCCTTCCCCATCAGTCACCCTTACGGGTGCAGAGAGCCCTCGGAGGGCAGTGCTGAGGGGAAGCAAGTAGAAACGGTGAGCACCACAGAGGCGCCCCCCCCCCCCCCAAGGTGGAACTGAACGGGTCTTTGTAAAAAAGATGAGAGTCTAGAGACATCGATTTATACCACACGGACATTCGCCTTTGAAGAGTTAGAGCGAATGCTCGTGTTCTAAGAACCAGGGCCGTGCTGACGGGGGCACACCGTGGTTTTGTTCAGCCTGGGAGCCTGTGCCCCTGCAGCGCCCGGAGCCCCACGCGGTACGGCCCCGTAACCTGGCCCAGCGCCCAGCCCCGGGGGGGGGCGGCAAAAGCACCGTGAGCAGCCTGTGACTCGTTCTTTTGGTTTTTTCCTGGGCTATGGACCATCGTCTTGCATGTTTGATTTCCTTCAAGTACTGCTGTGGGAAAGATTTGGAGTAGTTTTATTTTCTTTTTAATTCCCAGTGGAAACTGAACTGACAGATTGGAACTCCACAGTTAGTGCTTCCAGACTGAGCACAAGAGAGCATTTCATCCAAAGTTGGATGTGCATTTTAGAAACTTCCAAGTGATCTCCCTAAATTGCAAGAGCGCCATGTTTTGTTGGGAGTGGGGGAAAGAAGGGAGTTACGTAGTACTTACAAGCTCTTCTATATGAGAGCTTTCCTGATACAAGGCCTGGACACTCAGTCACCTTGCCCATCCCTTCCTCTTCAGATTGGGCAGGAACGAATTGAGGTGAAGTTGACTTTTCTAGGGTCCTGTGTTTGGCACACATTTACTGAGCACCTACAGTATGCAAGACAATGCACTGGCTATCAGGAGGGGCCCTAAAATGAGGGTCTGTGGGTGTGCCAGCTAGCTCACCAGGGATGGTTGTGGTTGGTTACAGCGAGGGGCTTCTAGTCACTTCATTCTGTTCTCTGGCCACTTGCTGCAGATAGGCAGGGTCATGTGTAAGCACATCCTCAGCATTCCCCGGTCTTGTTACTGAGAACCTATGTGCTCAGTCAGTTTAGACGGGAAATGGTCATGTGGCTGTCGCAGGAGGCATTCCAAAGGCTGGCAGGTGCCATCTTCTGGTGGGAAGGAGCATAGCTCTGTTGTGTGAGAGGTTTAGTCATCAAATGCATGAGAATCCCACTTGTAATGTAATGAATATATCTGGGCAGCGGGGGCGAAGGGGGCACATCAAAACCCCCCCCTTTTTTTTTTTTGGTCTTTTTTAATTAACTGGATTAGATGAAATTATATTAGAGGGATAGTCCCATCGAGCAGGGAACTAGTGAAAAAGACGTTTGTGGGGGTTTTTATTCCACAGTAAAGTGATGGTCTACATGTTACATCAAAGTCATAGGATTGAACAGCTGAGATTCCTCTCAGAGAGAGCCTACCCTCCTTCCGTGGTCAGTTATTCCGTGGGAAGTCTGAGAGGCAGCTAGCTTACTTAGAGTAAAACAGAGAACACCCGGTATTAGGTTTCTCAGCTCCCCATTTGTTCCCCAGCTTTGAAAACCCCTGCTGTGGAACCAGTGAGTAGATGTCACACCTTCTATTCATTGACCAGCAAGCTCCAGATTGCTGTGGCTTCTGCAGGATGGCAGGCTTAGGGAGAAGGAACATGGACACATTCCAAATAACAAGTATAGTGTGCATCCGAAAGATAATGGCGACCCTGGAAGAGTAGGCAATCACCTAAAATCTGAGATACGTGCCATAGCTTTAAAAGACTTCCACACTGAAAGGCTCCCCACGGCCAAAACCGGTTTGGCTCTGGATAGAGCGTCGGCCTGTGGGATTGGGGGTCCCAGGTTCGATTCCGGTCAAGGGCATGTACCTTTGTTGTGGGCACACCCCCATTGGAGTGTGTGCAGAAGGCAGCTGATCAGTGTTTCTCTCTCATTGATGTTTCTAACTCTCTATCCCTCTCCCTTCCTCTCTGTAAAAAAAATCAATAAAATATATTTTTTTTAAAAAGAAAAGAAAAGAAAGAGAGGCTCCCCATGGTCTTTCCTGCTTACACGTATCACAGAAGGAGAACCAGGCAGAGAGGTCAGCGACTTGCCCAGAGTCACCTGGCAAGTCCGCAGGCCTGGTTCCCGCTCCTCCCTCCCACTGCCGCCTTCGGTGGTTTTCATCCCAAGCTTGCCTGGGTTCGGGAGCTCTGCACGTGGTTATCGCTCACCCCTAAGTATTGACTGGTTAGTTCATCCTAATTTCCAGGAAGTAATGGAATAGGATTTTTTTTTACATCTGTCCGAACGGAGAGACCCGGGGAGATGAAGCTGCTGGTGTGTGCTGTGTGTGACTCTACTTTTTGTTCTTTGTGACCCAGGAGCGAAGACAAGGAAGCAGTGGGCATGCTGGTCAACTGCCCTGCCTACTACAGCGTGTCGGCTCCCAAGGCCGAGCTTCTGAACAAAATCAAGCACATGCCCGAAGAGATGAGTGAGGAGGAGGAGCAGGTGGATGTCAATGAAAAGAAGGTAAAGAACTGGGACCTGGGTTTCGTTTTCCCCAGAAAGCTAGTCGGGGGCCTAGCAGGGTTGCTCAGTAATGCCCCTCATGGCCAGAGGGAGGGGGCCTGTCCCAGCACTAGTCGCGCCCAAACCGTCACTGGACTCCGGACTACATGGCACTTTGAGCCATTTCCTCACAGCTCACCTGTCCTTTTCACTTTTATAAATGACAGAAGTGAAGGCTAATGGCAATTAGTTATTTCCTGAAGGTCTCATAGCTGGGACGACACCCCAGGTACCCTGCCTCCTGGCCCAGCACAGAGACCACAACCCTGTTCTCAAGGTCCGTGTAATTGTCATGCATGATTCCTGCGCACAAAGAAAACTAGAAAACCTAGAAATGTTGAGGAAAGAGAGACTGGATTATGAAAAGACACGTTGGAAAAGGTCATGTTAATCTTTAAATTCCTCAGCTCCCTTTGCCATCCCCCAGTGAGTAATAACTTGAAGCCACAATGTTGGAATTTAGGTGTTAGCATTTCATACACTTACAGAAATTTTCATTGCTGAGCATTTTTAAAATGACTATGCTGCTGCCGTCCTCCCCAGAGCCGCGGGGATCTAAGCTGGCCTGTGCCTCTGGGGAGGGGGACGCTCCTGCAACTCCACTTTCCTCGCAGCCCTCGGCTCCGGCTTGCCTGCTGAAAGGGACTCTCTGTGAAGGCTTGCTTCTTGCTGAGTCTGGAATGTAAATGGTTCAGTGGTACCAATTCTAGGAGAAACGTTCTCATGTGATTCCATTCATTTATTTTCTAATGTGTGTCCTAAGCCCTCGTGTTTATGTACTGGAGTGAGACCACAGGATGCAGAGCCTGGGAGCAGGAAGTTGTGGGCCAGGAAGTCTTAGGGGTTTAGAAGCAGCTCCTTTGGTGGGATTCTCCCTCTTGCTCCAGCTCCGGGGGCTCGCAGCCCAGGGCTGACGTGCTGAGGCAGCCACTGTGGTAACTCTCTCTCCCCCAGCCCAGGGCTTTTTCCCTTTGAAACATCTGCTTCATAGCACACCTCACATCCCTGCCTCAGTGCTGCTGAGCGCCCCCACTGAATGGGTCCTCTGAGCGGGGGAACCCACCTTGCTCTGCTCCATGTTTATCCCGGAGAGGGAGCTATAGAAACCCTATTACAGGTATCAGGCTGCCAGGACATCTTCAGATAACAGAACATTTACTTTTCAGAATCGGCTTTCCCCAAGAGAGCTCTAGTGACCCAGATGGTTCTCAGCTGCCCGGTTCCTTTCCTCTTCCTTCAGTCTTGAAGCCCCACGCTTCCCTCTGCTCTGTCTTCCTTTCAGCCTGAAAAGCTTCCCCCAGCATTTCTTCATGTAGATATACCCTGCTTGACAGTAGCAGCGTGGCATACTACTCATTGCTTTGCCCTCCACATCTCAGTTTGATTTTTAGCCTGTGTCATCACTTCATTATCACCCTCTCATTTTGAGGACTATGTGGCACCACATATGTTTGGACTGAGTAACATGAGGGAGGAGTGGATTATTTCTCATGGGAAATAACATTATATGCCATTTATTGAGTATTTCCTATGTTCTAGGTGTGAGTTGTTTTGTTTTGTTTTACATACTGCTCTATTTATTTTTTTTTTTCTTCACAAAACTGTATTGTCACCTTTTATACTGAAGTAATTAGAATGAGCCAGACTAGAGGATATGAGGGCATTCAAGACCAAGGAGACGGGGTGGGGAATGACCTGGAGATGTGGAAAAACATAAGGAGTGTGTGTGTCTTACAGAGAGGGACTTCCGGTAGCTTGGTATTTTGGAATGAAAAACAGAGCACCTCGCCCACCCGCTGCGGCTCAGTGGGTGAGCATCCTTCTGGGGACCAGTGGGGTCAGGGTTCAGTTCTCAGTCAGGGCACAAGGGCAGGTTTTGGGCTCAATCCTCAGTAGGGGGTGTGCAGGAAGCAGCTGATCAATGATTCTCTCTCATCACTGATGTTTCTATCTCTCCCTCTCCCTTACTCTCTGAAATCAATAAAAGCATATATTTTTTTAAAAGTGACTAAATTAGAAATGACCAAATTTAGAAAATAAAGAGGACCACAGGCAGCAGGAGACGAGGCTGGGAGGATCCCCAGGAGCCACCTCATGGTTGCCAGGGGCTTTGTGTGAAATGCTGCAGGGCTCGATTTCTGCCTTCAGCAACGGAGAAACCTTGGGGAGTTGTTTGTTTGGATGAACTACAAGTTTATGAATGGGTAATAGAATTTTTGTTAGTGGTACTCACATTTGTATGTATATCTGACTTGTAAAGAGAAAATATGTGAACTTGACATGATGTTGACGGCATCTATTATGCTCAGCCCAAATTGGAAGTGCAATTCTCCTCCTGATGTACCAGCTTTTCTAACAATGATTGAAATGAGCATTTTAAGTTAATTCCATTTTAATATATTTTCTATTTCTATAGCCTATAGATGATGAATTATAATATTCCAAGTAAATGTACTATAAGTGCTACTTGAAATATGAAACACTTTCATTGTCTGAACTTGTGACATACGTAAAAACTAAAGACAGTTTGATATCAACTCCTTGGCTAATCCCTGCCATATCTACTGGCAAAAGTCTGCTTGAGCAGAGCCCATGATTCCTGATTCTGAAGGCAAAAGGCTTTGGCTTAGAGACTTAATGGAAAATTTCAAAAGGCAAAAAGAATCTGTTGTTCCCCGGAATTGGCTTTCCCCAAGAGATCACTAGTGACCCAGATGGTTCTCAGCTGCCCGGTTCTGTTCCTCTTCCTCAGTCTTGAAGCCCCGCACTTCCCTCTGCTCTGTCTTCCTTTCGGCCTGAAAAGCTTCCCCCAGCATTTCTTCAGAATGGGTCTGTTGGTGACACGTTCTTTTCGTTTTTCTTCATCTAAGAATTCCCGTTGTCGTTCCTGAAGGATGTTTTCACAGGGATTCGGGCTGCCTGTTCCTTTTCTTTCAGCATTTTAGAATTGTTGCTCCACTTTCTTCTTCCACGGTCTCTGATGAGGAATGCTGTCATTTAAATACTCTCATATGCAATGTGTTGTTTTTCTCCAGCTACTTTAAATTTGTTCTTTATTTTTGATTTTCAGTGATTTGATTATGATGTAGGTGGGCTTGATTTTCCTTGGTTTATCCTGTGTGGGTTTGCTGAGTTTCTTGATTGTAAAAATGTATGTCCTTCACTAAATGTAGGATGTTTTCAGCCATTATGTCTTCAAATATATATATATATATATATATACATATATATATATATATATATATAAATAAATTTTTTTCTTCTCCTCTCTCCCCCTCCCCCAATCTTCCTCTTTTCTTTTTGGGACTCCGGTGACATGGCATAAGTGTTAGACCTTTTCATACTGTCCCACAAGTCCCTGAAGCTCTGGGGTTTTTGTTGTTGTTCAATCTGTTTTCTGTCACTTCTTCTGGTTGGATAATTTCTGTTAGTCTATCTTCAAATTCACTGACTGGCTTGTCTCCATTCTGCGAGTGATTATTTTTTTTTAATTTCAAATATAGTTTTCAATACTAAAATTTATATTTATATTAGTTTTTTGTAGTGTCTATTTCTTTGCTGAGAACTTCCGCCTTCTTTTCATGTCATGGGTGCTTGCTTTTATCATGGCACATAGTTATAAAAAGTATTTTAAAGGCTTTGGTAATAATCCCAACATTGGGGTTATTCTTGGTGTTAGTGCCTGTTGATTATCTTCCCCTGAATTGCTCATATCTCATTGATTCTTTTTATATTAGGAGATTTTATATTGTATTCTGAACATTTTGAGTATTATGCTGTGGGACTCTGGGTTCTGTTAAAATCCCCTGGAAAATGTTGGCTACAGGTGGTATCTCACCACTGGGTGGTGGTTCAGAGACTTGGCTGTGTGCCACACGTGAACTGTCGAGGGCTTAGCCTGGGACTTGGGCAGCTGTTTCTACCACGTTCCATTCTCAAAGTCTTTGCTGTGCTGCTGTGGGTCTGTCCCACACACGTGCAGCTTGAGGGTGAGCCTAGGACTTAGGTCAGTTCTGCACAGAATAGGGGATCTTTTCCAGCTCTCTACTGTTCAGTGTCTCCCCAAACCCCACCCTACTCTCTGGCTCCCAGCAGCACCTTTTCCTGGGCATCTGGCCAGAAAGATGCGTTCTCATTTTATATAAAAAGGAAAGTTCTAGCAACAAGTTACAGCACCCTGTGCGCTGTACGTTCTGCACTGCTGGGGCTGCCCTCAACAAGAGAGAGAGAAAAGGTAGCGAGGATCCCCTCCGTGGGCTTTGGCCCGCGGGTCCTTTCCCAGCTGCTCTGACAAAGAGAGGGTTTTCCTCAGAGTTTACATGCAGGAGCCTCCCCTGCACAGTGCAGCTCTGCGTACGTGCAGTCACCGGTGGTGGGGGCAGGGCGAGGGAAAACGGAGAGAAGGGGGTTCGAAACAGGAAATCCCCCCACTCTTGCGCTCACAGGGGCCCCTGTTTCTCGTCTTCTGGTTTGAAAGGCGGGGCTTTTCCTGGAGTTTTTGCAGCCACGCTGTCTGTGTGCTTCTGCCTGGGGCTGTCCTCAGGTCAGAGGGCGAACATAAACTCACCCCATTACGGATGTACTCGAGGCTGGCTGCCCTCCGGGTCACTGCCATAGCTCACTGTACGGAGCCCGCTTCTGCCCCGAGGGACGCTGGCTGCAGGAAGCAGGGAGCGCGGCTTCCGTGGGCTTATGCCATCTTGGCCTGCATCGCGAGTCTTCACCTTCCCCCTTCCCCCATCCACAACCCCCCCGCCCCCCAGGTTTATCCACTGGGAGATCTGATTGCAGCAGCTGTGTGAGGAGGAAGAGAGGGCGGGAGGGAGGGCGTCACAGCCGTCCAGGGAGTGACAGCACAGGTCTAAGGGCAACGCAGTAGAACAGTGAGAAACAGATGGGCTGAAAAAAAAATAAGTAAAATAAAACTGGTACCAGATTAGTCGTGAAGCGTGGAAGAGAGGCGAGGGTCAAGGACGCCTCCCCCGTTCCTGGCCAAGGTGGAGGTCATGGCCGAATTAGGAAGAGCAGGAAGGTCATTTAGGGAGGGAGGAGAATGAGCGTGGTTGAATTTAAAGGAATACTGTTTCTTGTGTATCAAAAATTCCCAATACCAAGAGACTGTGCTAAGTAAACAGGACAACTTCCTGGCACCAGCCTTCGCGAGGGAAATGGTAAAGGGCCGCTCCCGGCAGGGGACCTCTGTATGGCAGGCGGTGCCCAGGGCCTTTCTGCTCTGATGGGTCACACCACAAAGACGAGGTTTGATTCATCTCTGTGACCAGGACATAAACGGCCCCTGACTTCTCGGGGTGAAGTTCAGCTACGGAAACAGCCCAGGGCTGCTGCCTGCATCCTCCCCAGTTTTTACAGTGGGACAGTGTGGCAAGGGCCTGGATTCACTGCCCCTGAATCCTGATTCTTCTTCTCCCCCGCTTCTCTTCTCTACCCCCCCTACTCCATGGCTAAGAGTCCTGGGTTACTCTTGTTTGAGGAAGACAGTCAATCAGCAGAGGCCAACTGTGTCTGTAATGACATATTGGCAACACTCAGCACAAGTTCTCGGAACAGCAGGTGAAGCTGGGGGGCGGGTGGGGGGGGGAACATTGAGTGTGCCCCTAGAGCAGAGGTGGGAACCTTTTTTCTGCCAAGGGCCATTTGGATATTTTTAACACCCTGTGCCATACAAAATTAGCAACGGAAAAATTAGCCTGCTCTGTTTGGTCAAACATTCAATTAACTCACCCCTAATGCTGGGCCAGGACCAGACCAAATGATTTCATGGGTCATAGCGTGGCCCTCCCCTGTCCTCGAGGCAGCTCCCTAAAACGAGTAGCGTGTGCTCTTCGAAGTGCTGCCTAATGATAATGGGAGCACACTCACACTCTCACTCTCACAAATGCCCAGCATGTGTACAATACTTTACACATTTTCCAGAGTGCTTGTACAAGCTTTATTTGATGGGAGCGTCATAATATTCCAATCAGCTATTTTAATGCGGTGATTAAACGCCTGAACGCTGAACCAGAGGGCCTGGCTTGAAGCTGGCGCTGGCACTTTCTAGCCACATGAGCTTGGTCAAGTTCAAGAAGTAAAACCAGGATAACAGCAATATCTCTCCCATCAGGTGGCTGGGGGTGGTAGTGGACTAGAAAAACACCTAGACAGGGCCTGGCACAGAGAAGGGGCTTGGTACTGAAACGTTAGGTATTACGAGCTGTAGGCAGGTCTGATTAGCCCCTTGCTGTGGTGAGATGCGAAGGCTGAAGGTCAGCCGGCGCCTGATGGTGACTTTTCTGTCACAGCCGGTCTCCTGACTCCGGGTCCGTGTTTTCCCTGGAGCAGGAAGGAGGTGGGACGGGGCCCAGCAGGATGGCTGTGTGCAGATGGTGAGGAGGGAGGGAGGGAGGGCCTGCTAAACTGTGTTTAGATTAAGAACCCTTATAAATAGCACCTCACACAGGTCGAGGTAACTTTATCCCAGATGAGAAGTGGATAAATGCCAGTGATTTTGCAAATCGGTAGCTCCCAAGAGACTAGTATGTTGTTTAAAAAAAACACACAAAAAAACACCCAAAATACCTCTTCTCTCTCTCCAGTGAATTCGGCAGGAAGTTGGTAGGGTTTTTTTTGGAAGATATCTATCTGCCTGGCAGACATGGCTATTTAGTTAGTATAGCCAACTTTCCCTTGTTGCTAAATCCCTTACAACTGCATTTCAAAATCCAAATGTCCATATTTTAAGGGCTTGGTAAAATTAAAAATTCAAATACCATTCAAATATGCAGCATTTGGGCCAGAAGTGACTGAATTGACTGCTTAGTGTACTTGTATTAGCATATATGGCCAAGCTGTTGCTGTATCATATTACGTCCCAGCAAACAGCTTTCAGAAATCACAGTGCCGTAAAACGTCATGGTCCTCCCCAAAGAAGCCTTCCTGGACCACTCTAAAGCCTTTTATTTCTTTCTTTTTTTAAATATATTTTATTGATTTTTACAGAGAGGAAGGGAGAGAGATAGTTAGAAACATCAATGAGAGAGAAAAACATCGACCAGCTGCCTCCTGCACCCGCCCCACTGGGGATGTGCCCCCAACCAATGTACATGCCCTTGACCGGAATCGAACCTGGGACCCTCCAGTCCACAGACCGATGCTCTATCCACTGAGCCAAACCGGTTTTGGCCTTCCTTTATTTTTAAAATATGTTTTTATTGATTTCAGAGAGGAAGGGAGGAGAGAAAGATAGAAACATCAGTGATGAGAGAGAATCATTGTTGACTCCTTCATGCCCCACATATAACACTGGTGATAGAGCCCACAACCTGGGCATGTGCCTGACCAGGAATCGAACCGTGACCTGCTGGTTCATAGGTCAGCATTCAACCACTGAGCCATGCCTGTCAGGCTTTTCCCTTCTTTTAAAATGAAGATTTACTCAGACATAGAAATTGTGACCATTTTGTTCCAAGTTTCCAACTGAAGCTACACCACACACACACACACACACACACACACACGAGCTGGAACCTTTTTAATGATAAAGAAATGGGTTTTAATCCCAAAAGATTATGTCCTTTTTCCCTGTGGCTACCTCAGACTAAGAGAAAAGTAAAAGAATCAAAAGCTATGGAGTTTAATTTCTCTTGCCTCAAAGAAATAGTAGACACTTTATATAAATGAAATCAAGCTTGAAACCACTAAGACCTTTACTTTATCCCTTCAATTAAATGTATTGGCTATTTGTGTAACTCTGTTTTATATGTGTAGCAATTAAGATGGCAAATTACATGGCTCTAGTAAATGGAAACAGTGGGGGATGCAATGGAAAGCACAAGGAACTGAATTCTGGTAATTAGCCTTATAATACAAGGCTAATATGCAAATAGACTGAATAGTGGAACAGCCAAACAACCGCATAACCAGTTGCTATGACATGCACTGGCCACCAGGGGAGGGCACACAGAACATGGCGGGCATTGGCTGTGGCAAGATGGTGGAGCAGGTGAACAGGGGCATCAGACAAAGGCGGGGCACTGGTCATTGTCATTGGGGCGAGTCTCTGGTGGTTACTGAAAATTCTTTGCTCCCGCATGCCACAGTCCTGCCTGGTGCTTGCACCTGCTGCCAATGCTGGCCCCACTCACACCCACTACCAGCGCCCAGCGCCAACCCCGATAACTAGGCACTGTTAGTGGGTACAAGAGGTGGCTGCCAGCCCTGATTGCCCCTCAGGGCTTCTCCACCTCCCCCTGCTCCTGAGGGGCAATCGGGGCTGGCAGCCACCTCTCGCACCTGCCTGCCCCAATCACTCTGTACCAGTTGGTGCGAGTGGGGCTGGCGCTGTTAGCATGTGAGAGCGGTGGTGGTGGGAGCAAGGCTTCCACCAGACAGGTGACTGGGCCGCAGCAGGAGGGGTCAGGCGGGGGCACGGGGGATGGACCAAGAATCCCCCTGTGCCCACCACAGCTCACAGCCCTTTCAAGGTGCACTAATTCATGCCATTGGACCCCTAGTTTATAATGATTGCCCACGAGAGCCCCTAAAGTCAGGGTGATTTGTGTTCAAAGCTACCCCACCTTCTGGTACATGTATCAGACTTCACCTCACTGAGGCTTAGTTTCCTCACCTATTGTATGAGGATAAAACAGTGTTTACTACAAAATTGTTGGGAAAAATGAGATAACTCACATACAGTGTCTCATATAGTGTCTCATATAGTGTCTAGCATGTAGTAATTGCTCTATAAACGGTATCTGTGGTTAATATCCAACTCACTTCGGGGTGATCTTGGGCAAGTCGGTAATTCTTTGACTCTTGGCTTCACTATTTGTAAAACAAGAACTTTGTACCCTACTCGCTTCTGGATGGTATTGTGAGGATCAGATGAGATTACGTCTTTTTTAAAAACTTTTAAAAGTAAGTGTTTAATAAACCAGTTGGGAGATCAGAGCCATGCGGAGCCTAACACCGTTAGGAAACATTAAGGGGCAACGTGTAATCAAGCGCTGGCCTGTTAGGATCCATAGGTTCCGAGGAGTACAGAGGCAGGCAGTCGGGGAAAGGAAGGAGTATTGATTGTGCCCTCCTGTTGGGGGGCAGTCCATACAGAGTGAGCCTTGAAGGAGAGACGGGATGTGGTTGGCTAACCTTTGCTGTGGGTCTGTCTCCTCTGTGGTTCCAGGCCGAGCTCATTGGAAGCCTCACCCACAAGCTGGAGACCCTGCAGGAAGCCAAGCGGAGCCTGCTGATGGACATCAAGCTCAACAACGCCCTGGGAGAGGAGGTGGAGGCCTTGATCAGCCAGCTCTGCAAGCCCAACGAGTTTGACAAGTACAAGATGTTCATCGGGGACCTGGACAAGGTGGTCAGCCTGCTGCTCTCCCTCTCGGGGCGCCTGGCCCGCGTGGAGAACGTGCTCAGCGGCCTTGGTGACGACGCCAGTAAAGAAGAGAGGGTACGTGGCCTAGACATGCTGTTCAGCAATGCGGTGGGTGCTTCTCCTTTTCCGCGTCCTGCACGGAAAGGGAGAAGGACAGGTTCCTGAGTGGAGGAGCTAGGGATTAAGAAATAATAAAAGAGCCAAAACCGGTTTGGCTCCGTGGATAGAGCGTCGGCCTGCGGACTGAAAGGTCCCAGGTTCGATTCCAGTCAAGGGCATGTATCTTGGTTGCGGGCACATCCCCAGTAGGAGGTGTGCAAGAGGCAGCTGATCGATGATTCTCATCGATGTTTCTAGCTTTCTATCCCTCTCTCTTCCTCTCTGTAAAAAATCAATAAAATATATTTTAAAAAAAAGAAAAGAAAAGAAAAGAAAGGAAGAAAGAAAGAGACCTAGGACTCAGCTGACATTAATTTAAAGGTCATCCGTGTGCATTCTCAGTGTTCCTGCTGAGCCCATGGACACAGAGAAGTACAGTAAGACACGATCCCTTCCCTCGGGAAGATGACAGTCTATTTGGGGCGGGAGAAAGTCCAGAGTATAGATAAGCAGGAAATGGAGGAGGCATGTTCCATGCCAAGAGGCAAAGCTGATACTGCGGGCTCAGGGAGCACTTAGGAACGTGAAAACCCAGGTACCAGAGTTTCTTTCCTTCCTTCCTAATGGGGGCTGACCTTAGAGAAAGGCAGAGGGGCAAGGGAACTCTGGGGGATGCGGGGAGGGCGCAGGAACATGAGCGTAAGCCCCAGGGAATCTGTAGTTCACCTGGAGGCTCCAAGCCCTCGGTGAGGATGCACCCCAGTGTCTCCACCACACCCCTTCCTGGAAGGAAGAGGACAGGTGCTGACAGTGGTGCTGATCCTGGATCAACTTCAAGGGCTTCCTCCGTGAGGCGCTGTGGGCTTACACACTCTTTGTGCCGACTCCTGGAGTCCTCACAACAGACCAGTGAGGGAGTGGCAGAGCCAGGGCCGGAGGAGTCCTGCTGCAGACCCCAGGTCTTATTCACCTCATTGGACTTATTCCATTGCTACAGAGCATTCTTCATCTGCTCATCCGTGCAGCACATGTCTGCTGGGCGTCCAGTGTGTGCCACTCACTGCTCTGGGCACTCGGGATATATCTTGGAACAAAACAGACCCCTGCTCTCAGGGAACTAATTTATCAAGGGAAGTCAGACAATAAACATAGCTATAATTGTATAACGCAAGGTGGTAAGTGCTCCAGCCATCAGGATGCTCCCTTGCACTCTGCTCCTTCTATCTACAGCTCTCTCTGTCTTTTAATGCTATCAGGGATTTCCTAATTATTTCTCCTAATGTGTGTGTGTGTGTGTGTGTGTGTGTGTGTGTGTGTGTGTTTATTTATATTTTATTAAAAGGAAAGATGTCTTTTTTCCAAATAGATTTTAAAGAGATTAGAAAAAGTCCAGAAGGTAAGCATTTGGGAATGTGACTGCGTATCTAGAAACTTTCTGCAGCTCCACCTGCAGTGGGTGCCCTCCTCCTGGAAGTGTGCTGAGCCCGAACTGCCTCTGCTGGGAATTGTCTAATATTATAGGATCTACCTCAGAAGGCTTTCCTTTCCTCCCTCCTCCCACTCAGCAAACAGCGAACGAGAACCCGTACTGTGTCAGGTGCTGTGTGTGCTAGGCATGGACACTGGCTACCACACAGGCCCCGCCCTGCAGGAACTCACCATGGAGTGAGGAAAACCAGAATGGAAGCAGCAAATGGGTCCAGTATGCTGCAGCACAGCAATCAAGTCAGAGCCCAGAAACACTTCTCAGCGGGTGGGGTGAGGTGGGAATTGACTTCACCCAAGTGATGCTTAATAGTCTAGCACCGTGGTCAGCAAACTGCGGCTTGCAAGCCACATGCGGCTCTTTGGCCTCTTGAGTGTGGCTCTTCCACAAAATACCACAGCCTGGGTGAGTCAATTTTGAAGAAGTGACGTTAGAAGAAGTTTTAAAAATTTGGCTCTCAAAAGAAATTTCAATCATTGTACTGTTGATATTTGGTTCTGTTGACTAATGAGTTTGCCAACCACTAGTCTTCTAGGATTCCATATTTGTAGGTAGAGTAAGAATGGAAAGGCCTCATGAGTGAGAAGGAATATCATAGACCAAGTAAAGAAAGGCCATGGCATCTTCCAAAACTGATTTGCATATGGTTATGTCTAGAACATAAAGTGATAACTTGGTTCATTTTTTTGAAACAGTAAATTATTCTTGAAAATAGAAAAGTCTATAGTCGGGGATTAGACAGGAAGTAGATCCCCATTTTTTTTTTTTTTTTTTGATAGCTCAATTTAAAGGGGTATTCAGAACACCAAAGAAATCAAACAATTCAATTTCAAAAATGAGTATAGGACCTGAATAGACATTTCTCCAAAGAGAGCATATAGATAGGCAATAGACATATGAAAAGATGCTCAACATCACTAATCATCAGAGAAATGCAAATTAAAACTACAATGAGATATATCATCAATATGGCGAGGATGTGTAGAAAAGGGAAACTTTGTACATTTTTGTGGGACTGTAAATTGATGCAGCCACTATAGAAAATAATATGTAGGTTCCTAAAGAAATTAAAAATAGAACTACATATGACCCAGCCATTCCACTGTGTGTTTATCCAAAGAAATCCAAAACACAATTCAAAAGAAATATGCACTTCTATCTTCATTGCAGCATTATTTACAATCGCCAAGATATAGAAATAACCTAAGAGTCCACCAAAAGACAACTGAATAAAGTAGATGTACATGTTAAAATAGATGTTATTATATTCTAACACACAATAGCCCTTAGAAGGAAGAAAATCTTGCCATCTGTGACAACATGGATGGACTAGAGGGTATTCTGCCAAGTGAAGTAAGTCAGAGAAAGACAAATACCCCATGGTTTTACTTAATATGTGGAATCTAATAAAATAAATAAATAACAAAAAAAGAACATCATTGAAGGTCTGGGAAAGATTAATGGCAGCCAAGAAGAGATAATGAAGTTCCCTAGCCCCTAGAGCCAGCTTCAGAGGGGAAGCCATTTCTGCCTCTAGACCTGGAGGAGCAACAGGAAGGGGTCCTCATCAGAACTATAGCTGTGGCTGTCCTCCAGCACTGAGGCTTTGGGGAAAGAATGCATCCACAGCCACCTGGCAGAGACAGAGCCAGGGATAAATATCCCCCTCCCCCTGCTTCCGTCCTATAGTCTCCCCATGACTCCTGTTGGCCAAACCCAGAAGGCAAGGGAGCCCAGTTGATGCAGCCACAGAGCAGCACTGAGGAGTGTGGGTCAGGGGTAGGCAGTATCCAGTGCAGACAATAGTTACACGGACCTTATGTGTCATGCTGTGGGCTTTGGACTCTTCAACCTATTGGCCAGGAAGAGCTATAAACTAATTTTACGACTTACTCAGCCTGGGAGGGGTTAAAATGATGCTTACAGCTGGAAGCCTTATTGTAATAGTTTAGCAAGAAGGCTCCAGGCCATTAATTTGGGCAGTGGTAATGGGGTTAGAGAATGAGTTTGAATTAGCAGGTGTGTTACAAGAGGGCGGGTATAATGGGAAGGTAATTGCCAGTTTGCCGTTGCACAATTCGGGTGGGTGCTGCAGATTTCTGAGATAGGAATACTGGAGCAGATCTCAGTTCGGGGGAGAGAAGCTGTTCTACAATCGAATTCAACTCAACACTAAATGCACAATTACACTCTCAGATACAAATAAGTGCTTGCTCACCTGCGAAATACTACGTCAATATCAGCCTTTGTTAAGAAACTGAAACTACCAATAGGAATGAGAAATGGAGTACTACGTGGTTCACTAAGTGCCAGATTCAGGATAATAGCAAAGAGGGGCAGGAAGGGAAGATGGGGACCTGGATAAGTATGTGTAAGGCTTCAACTGAATCTAACTTTTTTTAAAATTATTTTTTTTATTTAAAAAAATGCAGTGAGTTATTATAGATAGCTTAAATTTTCAAAAACTACACAGTATATCTATTCTCAAAGTTCTGTGTGGGAATTTGGAGGCTGGCCAGGGGTAAATTATGTCCAATGAGACAACGCTAGGCCAGTACTATGATCTTTGGCTGCATGATGTTTGTGTGGATAGTAAGATCTGAATGCAAAGCACAGACAGACACGGCTATCAGACACATGAAAACTATGCACACATTACATCAGCCATTAACTTTTTAATCGGAAGCAAATGTGAAAAGTGTTCATGGTGAGATTTGGCACTGTTCATGTACACAGGTATTACATCACTCTGTGAATTTCTGGTGTTTAAAATATTTAATGGGGTTTTTTTTGTTTGTTTTTAAGGTGAGGAAGAGGTTTTCTCTTAACTTACATCTCTACAGTATTTTGAAAGGTGTCTTCATTCAAAATTGGGGAGGAGGATTTTTAGGTCTGTTTTTCTTTTCTTTTTCTTTTTAAATATATTTTATTGATTTTGTACAGAGAGGGAGAGAGATGGAGAGTTAGAAACACCGATGAGAGTCATTGATCAGCTGCCTCTTGCACACCCCCTACTGGGGATATGTCCGCAACCAAGGCACATGCCCTTGACCGGAATCGAACCCGGGACCCCTCAGTCCCCAAGCCGACGCTCTAGCCATTGAGCCAAGCCGGTCTCGGCTAGGTGTGTTTTTCTGATTAGGTGAAAATGGAAATATTTGTAAGATTAATCTATAATTTTGCACTTTTCCCCCTAGACACACTTATGTTAAAATAGGCTAGTTTGAGGAAAATTAGGACAAAGACACAGAAGCCTTTCATAACCCTACATAAGCTAATTTGTATTGAAGTATATATTTAAATAATCTGTTTCTTAATTTTCATTTTAATGTTTTTTAATCACTTTGGCCTGAAAAGTCTGAATGGTTAATTATACATTTGTTTTTAATTATATGTCAGCATGATGAGTAAAAGCACATACACATTAAAATGTCTCATAACGTACATTAGCCCGAAAGATAGCATTTACCTTACTATTCTGTTTGTATAAGAAACTCCCAGAATATGAAACTGCCATTATTATTAAATAGAATTTCTATCATGCTAGGTTCAGAAGAGTGAAAGATACCTAGAACATGGAAACTGATTTCTTTAAAGGTGAACAGTGGGATGTTCTCATTGTTGACTATGGATTGGGACAGAGGATCTCAAACTTTAGCCGCAAAAGAATCACCCAGAAGGCTTGTTGAACCACATGCTTCTAGGCCCCACCCCCAGGAGGTGAAACGGGACCTGGAAATGTGCATTTCTAACAGGTTCCCAGGTTAGCTGCTGCTGGTCCACACGTGGAAAACCTCTACCAACAGGAATACTTGCTGTTTGGCCTTTTTTCAATTTTTTTATTCTTGTAAACTACACAGAAAACTTGCCATCTTAACCATTTTAAAAGTACCTAATTCAGTAACATTCAATACATTCATATTGTCGTGCATCCATTTCCAGAACTCTTTCAGCTTGCAAAACACACTCTGTACTCGTTAATCCATAATTCCCCATTTCCTCACCTCCCAGCCCCTGGCAACCATCATTCTACTTTTTTGTCTCCATGATTTTCACTCTCCTAAGAACCTCGTGTAAGTGTGCTTTTAAGTAAACGAGCCTAAAGTCAAGTCAGCACCCCAGCCAATTGAAGGCAATCCCTCTCAAAGCTGCCACGTGGCTGTACAAGTTAGAGAAGCACGGGCATCCAATCGAAGGGCACTAAGCTGGTTTTCAAAAACATTAAATCTCCTTAATTTAGAGTGATCCCTTAGAGCACATGTGTCAAACACAAGGCCCGCGGGCCAAATCCGTCCCGCCAGGCCTTGCAATGTGGCCCGCACCACGCTGTCATCACTGCACTCTGCTGCGTTTCCATCACAATGACAGTTTATGACTGTTCAGTAAACCATTCGGCCCGCGATTTAGGCTGGATTTTAGATTTTGGCCCCTTGTCTGATTGAGTTCGACACCCCTACCTTAGAGAGAAGCCTGCACAGTTTGCAGCCCTGTGGACGGGTGTCTCTGTGGGCAGGGTGGCTCTTTCCCTCTGTCCCCGTGCCCTTAGCTCACCTGCTCGTTTTCGCCGGCAGAGCTCTCTCAACGAGAAGAGGAAGGTCCTGGCGGGGCAGCACGAGGATGCCCGGGAGCTCAAGGAGAACCTGGACCGCAGGGAGCGGGTGGTGCTGGACATCCTGGCCAACTACCTCTCCGAGGAGCAGCTCCAGGACTACCAGCATTTTGTGAAAATGAAGTCCACACTCCTCATCGAGCAGCGGAAGCTGGACGACAAGATCAAGCTGGGCCAGGAGCAGGTCAGGTGCCTGCTGGAGAGCCTCCCCTCGGACTTCGTCCCCCAGGCGGGCGCCCTGGCGCTGCCCCCGGACCTCACACGTGAAGTGACTCCTCCCGGGGGATGTGCTCCCGGTGGTGGTCTCCCACCGGTGACCTCTCCCCTCTAACCTCTTCTACCACACCCACCCGGAAGATCACCCTCTCTTTCAACACTATTTAATCTGAAAAAATGTCTCCGTACAAACCACTGTTTAAATTCTATGGGTTTTGGGGGCGGTATTTTCTGGATAAAAAGGAAAAGATTCTATCCAGGAAAAAAGCCTGTATTTTCCTTCTCACCCTTCATGATTGACCTGAGAGCTTGAATGCCGCTGGGAACTTAGCCCTTTTGTTATTACTTTGTAATAGAAGGAAAATTAATGACACTGTGAGAACTGATCGGAGGGTGTTTGGCTGATTTCGTTTCCCACAGGCTTAGGCAAACGGGGACCGGTGTGTTTCGCCCTCAGGAACGTGCCCACCGTGGCCTGCCTCAGTGTGGGCCGTGCCTCCTGACGACAGGTACAAGGACTCCTTAGTGAAGGGTCTGCAGCATAAAGCCTTAAAGAAACACACACACACACACAGCAGAAATTTGTAAAGCCTTGGACGTTGTTATTTATATATTTTTAAGAAATGAAAAGGATCATTATGTTTGTGTGCTAACCACTCATTCGATTCTGTTTTGTGGTGGACGTAGACAATGACGTTGTTGGAGCGTTGTATTTTGTGGAAACCTTAATGAAATGAGGAATTCCAAAGACAGTCCTGTGGAGTGTGGAGACTTGTTTTTTCTTAAACTCTTGACCTGTCCGCTTTACTTTTACAAATACGAGTACACACACACACACACACACACACACACACACACACCCTGTGCTTGTGTTAAACCGAGTCCTGGGGAACCCCGTTCCGCCTGCTGCAGGGGCACACACCTCCAGGAAGGCAGTTTCAGGCAGGAAGGTCACCGCCAAACTCGAAGATTAGGAAGTTTGGGTCAACCAGCCCCTGAGAATCAGTGCCTTTCTGTTGACTTAAGGAGGGAGGGCCTGTGGGGCTTAAATGAGGAGAAACCAGCCCGGGACACCCCACTCCCTGTCCCTTGTATTCCACTGTCAATATCTGATCCCAAATAACTTCTGATTTTTAAAGTTAGGTCACATTTGTTCCTAATATAAACTCAATTTCTAATTTGTATTTTACACAAACATCTTTTACTAAGATGTTTAGGGGGGGCGGGGGGTGGATTCCCTGGAGACCAAGGAAAATATTCGCTTTTTATTCTTATGTGGTTCCAAATTTATTCCTCTATAGTTTAATTCTCCACAATACTATTGATTTTATTCTGTTAGGTCGGAATTTTTTTTTTTTTTTTCATTGTTAGAACAGCATGAGTTTTATTCATCTTACAGTGGGCAAGAAAAAGTAAAAGCTTCAGCCAGAAATGACCCCTCCATCTCCAGGAATACGTAGATCAGGAGGATGTGAAGGGCCATTCTACCAGTATACAGAAACAGTCTATTGGAGGCAAGGTACTCAGGGCTGCCTTAACTCTGAGATGGAGCATGGGATAAAATGATTTAAAAAAAACAAAAAACAAAAAAACCATGTTGGTATCAGAAAGAGACATAGGAAGTCTTATTATTATTTCTAAATAAACCTCCCTCTTATGGAAGTTCATTCAGACATTGCATCATGGTTTCCCAAAGTGCAGGCAAGATATTCCGTATCAGAATCACAGAATGCATGTTAGCATGCCAGCTTCTGGGACACGACCCAACAGGCTGGGAATCTGTGTCTTCACAGTTGAAAACCACTGAGACCAGTCATTTGTTCAGTTTCCATTGTTAGGATCACAATAAGATGAACATGAAGTATGTGCTAATCCAGAATTCAAAGCCCTGTCAGGTTTGCTCTCGTTAACTACATTAATATGAGTTATTATTGTTCCCACTACTTTCATATAATCCCCCAAGATGGTGTTAGGGGTTATTTCCACTGCTCAGTCCTAGATCTGTTGTAAACTTAAGCAAGCTTGTCGGAAAACGACCATTGCCCCCACTAGCAGAGCGTTGTGGAAGCTCTGAGAGGTCAGAGCCACCCACTCACTAGCTAGTTGAGACAGTAGTAGCTGAAGCAATTTCCACCTGTCAATCTTATGTAAATCCTTGATGATCAGCTATTACTGGAGTTGCCTGCCTCACTGGGTGGATCCCAAACCTTAATAAAAGGGGTAGCAAGGCGTAGTCCTCCCCCTAGAGGTAGACTCCCACCTGGCCCCCAATATCGCCAAATTAACACTTTTCTAGTCTCATTTTTTTGTTTGTTTGTTTTATTGATTTTTTACAGAGAGGAAGGGAGAGGGGTAAAGAGCAAGAAACATCGATGAGAGAGAAACATCGACCAGCTGTCTCCTGCACACCCCCTACCGGGGATGTGCCCACAACCAAGGTACATGCCCTTGACCGGAATCAAACCTGGGACTCTTCAGTCCGCAGACCGACGCTCTATCCACTGAGCCAAACCGGTTTCGGCTAGTCTCTTTCATCTGTATGAGGCCTCCTCCAGAACCTGAACCCTGAACCACGAGGGACGTGAAAGGGGTTCCCGCACAAGCTAGATGTTAATTCAAGCTCAACTGCACTAATTATTTCTCCTCAGAAGGAATGAAACCATGTCAGTGGTTTGAAGTTCTGATACTTTCTCAAGTTCAGGATGCTTGTGCTACTAATCTGAAATCACGACCCACTTTTCAGGGGGGCCCTGCTCAGATGTTTGGGGCTTCGTCACAAGTCTCACGCTACAGGTGAGTTAGAATCTCTCGTGGCGTGGATCTGACAGCCGACCTGATGAAACAAAAATGTGTTACTGTCCTTTGAGAAAGTGAAAGGAACTAACGTCCAACTTTAAAACCCTACAATCAAAATTAGACAAGGAAAAAGTTGTGAGTGAAGAAACGGGCTCAGGTATTCCTACTTCATTCTATAAATTCCTCTCTCATCTATACGGGGAAAACAGCTGCATTTCTTGCTCAAATGTCCATTTCGCCATTGCCTTCCATGGTGGGTTGAACAAGAGACATTTAGTATGAAGAATGGTTAAATCCCGACAAAGGAGTGCTATGGGATAGAAGGAATTTGGGAAAACACCTAAGGAAAGACCGACTTGGAAAGGGGCCTCTGCCAAGGCTGAGTGTGGACCTGGAGAACTCAGCCCACTGACAACACACGTTCCCGGGTTTGCCCAGGCCAGCGCTGGTCTTAGTCCCCGGGCAAGCAGAAAGCAATCCCCAAAGTGCCATCGGTGCCCTCAGCAGCCAGCCACATGGACCTGCACAGGGAGTGGGGGCCAGCAGAAGGCAGCTGCTCAGGGAAAGAAGCCCTTGGGGTTGCAGGTGATCTTTGCTTAGGGAACAGATGTTGGCAGATGCTTTGGGACACATGCAAACAGGAATCCATTAGGTTGTGGGTTTCTAGTCTGCAGGACTGAGAGGAGGTTATCTCCTACCTGAGAAACCTGTGCTTGGGTAGAACTCCCTCAGACTCCCCACACCCGCACCAGGCAGCAGCCAAAACAGCAAGATAGTCCTTTCCTCCCTCTTGCCCCTCTAGCGCCCTCTACTGAGAAAGCTTCACATGCTCATTACAAAGGAGAAATGGTGAAGGGCAACTGTGGGGCTAAGAGGCAATAATGGATAACTGGCACAGATTTATGCTACTACATTATTACCCTAGCAGTATCTTCTAGTATCATAAAGATTTTGTAGTTGGTGATTCTGTAAAAACAATTTCTCAGGCAATAAGAAAAAAATAGTGTCTATCAAGTGCATAACTTACTTATGAAACAATAATTTGGGGGGATGAAAAAGAGGTTTTAGGAAATTTTAGAAATTTTGGAAGTTAAGGGGACCATTGAAGCGCAGGACTGCCGAGCACCAGCAGTTACACTTCCATAGAATGAGGGAGCTGGGAACAGCAAAAGGTCTATATATTTACAAAATAAAGAGAAGGAAGCCCTTCATCCAGAAGGAGAAGGAGAAAACCCAAAGGGAATAGGGAAGGAGGTGGGGAGAACCTCACTTGTCCCATGTAGAGTTCAACCTTTGAGCTCAGGAGTTACTATAGTAACCAGTCCAAGGGAATAGTGACCAATCAGAGGGGATATCAAGCCACCAGGATCTGCAGCCTTTATAAGCCATAGGGAAAAGGAACTCCGAGGGCCGGAAGTCTGTACTTGTTCTTTAATAAATCTCCACCTTTGCTTTACCACCCTCTGTCCATGGATTCACTTACATCTCTTGAAAGTGTTGAGGGGAAAACAATTTCTTAAATGTGCTTCATATACCCACATTCCTCAAAACACCTAAAGCAATAGATTTAGATTGAGGCCCATGTAAGAGCATGTGTAAGTTTTCTATCTCCCATCTCTCTGCCTAGCTCTGTCTCTGGAGACCTCTCTGTCTGTTGCTATGTCTCCACATGTATACCATCTGTCTCCTTGTGTGTGGTTTTCTCTTTCTCAAACTTTACAGCTGCCATCTTCCTGTTCTTTCATTATCCAGATGATTCCAATTATATTCTTTATATTATTGGGGGGATGGGGAGGAGTCAAAGGATAAAACGGGAATGAATAAAGAACTAGAAGGAAAGATCTGTAAAATCCAGAATATAGGAAAAAAAATGTACATCACTTAAGCTAAACAAGGGAGATGCCTAACAGAAGACTTTGCACTGTTTAAATATGCATAAGAGCCAAAACCGGTTTGGCTCAGTGGATAAAGCGTCAGCCTGCGGACTGAAAAGTCCTGGGTTTGATTCTGGTCAAGGGCATGTACTTTGGTTGCCGGCACATCCCCAGTAGGGGATGTGCAGGAGGCAGCTGATTGATGATTCTCACTCATCGATGTTTCTAACTCTATCCCTCTCTCTTCCTCTCTGTGAAAAAAAATCAATAAAATATATATTTAAAAATAATAATAAAAATAAATATGCATAAGAGTACATGAGAGATATGTATTTCCCCTCTTTAATCAGAACAGAATATAGGAGTTGACTTTGCTTATGGGGATAGGAATTGAGTTGATAAGAAAACATAACCCAATGAAGGGCTCACATATATTGGAATAAGAACTTTAAAATATTTCCTTCCTGGTAATTAAAAGAGAAAAGAGAGAAAACAAAGCCACCTGGTATGAAATGGCTTGGAAGCAGGTTTGTGAAAAGGCAGGAAGGTAGGCAGCCCTTCCAGTGATGAGGAAAATAAGACATTTTGGGGGGAGAGACCAGAAGCCTGACTCTGTACCTAGTTAATTAGTATCCCTAATGCACATTCCTGTTAGCCTATAGTCTAGTCACTGCTCCGTCCTTAATTATCTGGTCTTGCAAGACCTGTTTACCTAAATACTCCCTTTTTACAGAGACCATTAACCATGAACAATACACAACCCCCTGAGGGGTTATCAGCACTGGCACCAGGCCAGGCCTTTAGGTGTGGTCTCACGGTCCCCATCCCAACACACGGGGCTTTTTGCAAAGCCTGTGAGAGTCCAGAAATCTGATCCTTATTCAGGGGATAAAGAAACCAAAGGGTATAAAGAGAAAGTTTCCTTCATGTTGGATTTGCTCAGGATTTGGAAACAGGCTCCCCTGAATCCTGATACTAGTGCATCTGGAAATAGATGGGTTTTTCCTATATCTCTGGGAACGCCTGTGTATTTTCCGGTCTCCTGATAAATTCTGTACCACCAGGACTAGGGTTCTATGCAAGTAGAAAAGCAGAAAATGAACTTTAGCTTGTGCTTATAAAGAGACATTTTCCTAGCTTACTCAAGAGGTTTAATAATAACTTTAATAATAAACTCGGTTTACTAATGCATCACTGGATGTGTTTTGATGTTATTATTTAAAACTTTAACTTAACACTCTGAATAAACATATATTTTCACATTGAGAATGCAAGTACTTTTCTTCCTCACTTTTTTCCTTATTTTAAAAAAATGTATTCCTTGACCTTTTCTACAAATCTCCCTGAAAATTTGTTCTTTAAAAAAAAAAAAGAAGAAAGAAATATATTTTATTGATTTTTTTACAGAGAGGAAGGGAGAGGGACAGAGCTAGAAACATCAATGAGAGAGAAAAAACGACCAGCTGCCTCCTGCACACCCCCCACCAGGGATGTGCGAGCAACCAAGGTACACGCCCTTGACTGGAATCGGGGACCTTTCAGTCCACAGGCTGACGCTCTATTCACTGAGCCAAACCGGTTTCAGCAAGACTTGTTCTTGGCCAATAAATTTTGAAGATGATAAATCAGGAGTTTAAGAACAAATTGTACGGCCTTCTTGCAAATGTCAGTTAAAAGCTAAGGAATAATGTGCTTAGGAAGAAGGAACAAAAGACATCATTTCAAGATGCAGTTCCATGGTATGCCTCCACAGGTCAATGAGAGGAGTGTCTTTGGACGGGACAGCAGGAAATGTGCATGTTTACTACTTGGGTACTTACATATGTGCATTGGCCTGGCTAACTGAGAAGCTACATGATATGCCTGCTAACAAAAGTAGAACCACAGATCTTAGATCCAATGAATTGGAAATCAGTGTGAGGTAACTGAAAAAAGGCATCTGTCCATAAAGTGACATACAAATACAAATCAGCAATGAAAAAACAACCCAATTTTTAAATTCTTCTTGACAGAAGAATTAAATAGACACTTGACAAAGGGAGAGAGATGAATAGTTGATAAACA